CATCCCCGTGTCCCCATGACCCATCCCCGTGTCCCCATATCCCCTGCCCGTGTCCCCACGTCCCCTGCCCGTGTGCCAGCCCCCCGGTGACAGCCGTGTCCCCTCCCTGTGTCCCCATGTCCCCTGTCCGTGTCCCCATGACCCATCCCCGTGTCCCCACGTCCCCTGCCCGTGTGCCAGCCCCCCGGTGACAGCCGTGTCCCCTGCCCTGTCCCCAGCTGGAGCGGCAGCCACCTGCGCTGGGGACAGCCCTTCCGCCTGCGCCACGTCACCACCGGCCGCTACCTGGCGCTGACCGAGGCCACCGGGCTGGCCATGGTGGAGGCCACGGCCGCCAACACGCGCGTGGCCACCTTCTGCTTCCGGGCCTCCAAGGTGGGAGTGCCACCTGGGTGTCCTGGGAGTGTCACCGGGATGTCCCTGGGAGTGTCACCTGGATGTCCCTGGGAGTGTCACCTGGCTGTCCCCAGCCCCCTCCTGCTCCCTGGGAGTGTCACCTGGATGTCCCCAGCCTGCTCCTGGTCCCTGTCCTCCTCCTTGTCCTCACCCTGACCTTGTCCTGTCCCTGGGAATGTCACCTGGCTGTCCCTGGGAATGTCACCTGGCTGTCCCCAGCCTGCTCCTGATCCTCTCCCTGACCTTCTGTGCCCTTGTCCCTGGGAATGTCACCTGGGTGTCCCCGGGAGTGCCACCGGGATGTCCCCAGCCTGCTCCTGGTCCCTGGGAGTGTCACCTGGATGTCCCCAACCCCCTCCTGCTCCCTGTCCTCATCCTGGTCCCCACCCTGACCTTGTCCTGTCCCTGGGAGTGTCACCTGGATGTCCCCAGCCTGCTCCTGATCCTCTCCCTGACCTTCTCCTGTGCCCTTGTCCCTGGGAATGTCACCTGGCTGTCCCTGGGAGTGCCACCTGGCTGTCCCTGGGAGTGTCACCGGGATGTCCCCAGCCTGCTCCTGATCCCTGGGAATGTCACCTGGCTGTCCCCGGGAGTGTCACCTGGATGTCCCCGGGAGTGTCACCTGGATGTCCCCAACCCCCTCCTGGTCCCCAGGAGTGTCACCAGGATGTCCCCAGCCTGCTCCTGGTCCCTGGGAGTGCCACCTGGATGTCCCCAACCCTCTCCTGATCCTCTCCCTGACCTTCTCCTGTGCCCTTGTCACCGGGAATGTCACCTGGCTGTCCCCAGGAATGTCACCTGGATGTCCCCAGCCTGCTCCTGCTCCCTGTCCTCATCCTGGTCCCCACCCTGACCTTGTCCCGTCCCTGGGAATGTCACCTGGATGTCCTCAGGAGTGTCACCTGGATGTCCCCAACCCTCTCCTGCTCCCCTCCCTGACCTCGCTGCCCATCCCCACCCCACTCCTTTCCCCCCCACGGACCCCTGGTGCCCCCCACGGACCCCCCGTGCCCCCACGGACCCCCCGGTGCCCCCCACGGACCCCCCGTGCCCCCCATGGACCCCCCGTGCCCCCACGGACCCCCGTGCCCCCCACGGACCCCCCGTGCCCCCACGGACCCCCGTGCCCCCCATGGACCCCCTGTGCCCCCCACGGACCCCCCTGCACCCCACGGACCCCCGGTGCCCCCACGGACCCCCGTGCCCCCCACGGACCCCCCGTGCCCCCCACGGACCCCCGGTGCCCCCCACGGACCCCCGTGCCCCCACGGACCCCCGGTGCCCCCCACGGACCCCCCGTGCCCCCCACGGACCCCCGTGCCCCCCACGGACCCCCCGTGCCCCCCACGGACCCCCCGTGCCCCCCACGGACCCCCGGTGCCCCCACGGACCCCCCGTGCCCCCACGGACCCCCCGTGCCCCCCACGGACCCCCCGTGCCCCCCACGGACCCCCCGTGCCCCCACGGACACCCCTACACCCCACGGACCCCCCTGCCCCCCATGGACACCCCGTGCCCCCCACGGACCCCCCATGCCCCCCACGGACCCCCCGTGCCCCCACGGACCCCCCGTGCCCCCCACGGACCCCCCGTGCCCCCCATGGACCCCCCGTGCCCCCACGGACCCCCCGGTGCCCCCATGGACCCCCCGTGCCCCCACGGACCCCCCGTGCCCCCCACAGACCCTCCTGCCCCCCACGGACCCCCCATGCCCCCCATGGACACCCCTTCACCCCACGGACCCCCCGTGCCCCCACGGACCCCCCGTGCCCCCACGGACCCCCCGTGCCCCCCACGGACCCCCCGTGCCCCCCACGGATCCCCCGTGCCCCCCACGGACCCCCCGTGCCCCCACGGACCCCCGTGCCCCCACGGACCCCCGGTGCCCCCCACCGACCCCCCGTGCCCCCCACGGACCCCCCGTGCCCCCACGGACCCCCCGTGCCCCCACGGACCCCCCGTGCCCCCCACGGACCCCCCGTGCCCCCCACGGACCCCCGGTGCCCCCCGACCCCGCAGGAGAAGCTGGAGACGACCCCCAAGAGGGACATCGAGGGCATGGGGCCCCCCGAGATCAAGTACGGGGAGTCGCTGTGCTTCCTGCAGCACGGCGCCAGCGGCCTCTGGGTCACCTACGCCGCGCCCGACCCCAAGGCCCTGCGCCTCGGCCTGCTCAAGAGGAAGGTGGGACCCCAAAACACCGCGGGGGACCCCAAAATTACCGTGGGGGGTTCTGAGGGGGCTGCGGGGGGAGTTTGGGGAGTTTTGGGGTGTTTTAGGGGGTTTTGAGAGCTCTGAGAGGTGCTAAGATGGGTCTAGGAGGGTTTTGTGGGGGTGTTTGGGGTCTTTGAGGGGGTCTTTGGGGTTTAGAAGATTCTTTGGGGTCTCCAAAATTACCGTGGGGGGGGCCCAAAATTACCGTGGGGGGCTCTGAGGGGGCTGCAGGGGGAGTTTGGGGAGTTTTGGGGTGTTTTAGGGGGTTTTGAGAGCTCTGAGAGGTGCTCAGATGGGTCTAGGAGGGGTTTAGGGGGCTGTTTGGGGTCTTTGAGGGGGTCTTTGGGGTTTAGGAGATTCTTTGGGGTCCCCAAAATTACCGTGGGGGGCTCTGAGGGGGCTTTTGGGGGGAGTTTGGGGAGTTTTGGGGAGTTTTAGGGGGTTTTGAGAGTGCTGAGAGGTGCTAAGATGGGTCTAGGAAGGCTTTGAGGGTGTGTTTGGGGTCTTTGGGGTTTAGGAGATTCTTTGGGGTCCCCAAAATTACCGGGGGGCTCCCCAAAATTACCATGGGGGGCTCCAAGGGGGCTGCGGGGGGAGTTTGGGGAGTTTTGGGGAGTTTTAGGGGGTTTTGAGAGCTCTGAGAGGTGCTAAGATGGGTCTAGGAGGGGTTTGGGGGGCTCTCGGTGGTTTCAGGGGGGTCTCTGGGGTTTGGGGGGCTCTCTGTGGGTTCAGGGGGCTCTCTGGGGTTTGGGGGGCTCTCTGTGGGTTCAGGGGGGTCTCTGGGCTTTGGGGGGCTCTCTGTGGGCTCAGGGGGCTTGCTGTGGGTTCAGGGGGCTCTCTGTGGGTTCAGGGGGCTCTCTGTGGGTTCAGGGGGGTCTCTGTGGGTTCAGGGGGGTCTCTGGGGTTTGGGGGGCTCTCTGTGGTTTCAGGGGGGTCTCTGTGGGTTCAGGGGGGTCTCTGTGGGTTCAGGGGGTCTCTGTGGGTTCAGGGGGGTCTCTGGGGTTTGGGGGACCCCCGTGACCCCCCGCTTTGCCCCCCCAGGCCATCCTGCACCAGGAGGGGCACATGGACGACGCGCTGACCCTGAGCCGCTCCCAGCGCCAGGAGTCGCAGGCGGCGCGGATGGTCTTCAGCACCACGGGGCTCTACGGGGCCTTCATCAGGTCTGGGGGTCCTGGGGGGTCCTGTGGGGGTCCTGGGGAGGGTTCTGGGGGTGTCAGAACCTCCTGGGAGGGTTCTGGGGGTGTCAGAACCTTCTGGGAGGTCCTGAAGGGGGTCCTGGGGGGGTTCTGGGGGTGTCAGAACATTCCGGGGGTCCTGGGAGGTTCAAACCCTTCTGGGGATGGTCTTCAGCACCACGGGGCTCTACGGGGCCTTCATCAGGTCTGGGGGTCCTGGGGGCTTCTGGGGGGTCCTGGGGGGGTCCTGGGGGAGGTTCTGGGGGTGTCAGAACCTCCTGGGGGGTGTCAGAACCTCCTGGGAGGTTCAGAACCTTCTGGGGGCCATGGGGATGGTCTTCAGCACCACGGGGCTCTACGGGGCCTTCATCAGGTCTGGGGGTCCTGGGGGCTTCTGGGGGGTCCTGGGGGCTTCTGGGGGGTCCTGGGGGGGTTCTGGGGGTGTCAGAACCTCCTGGGAGGGTTCTGGGGGTGTCAGAACCTCCTGGGGGTCCTGGGAGGTTCAGAACCTTCTGGGGGCTATGGGGATGTTCTTGAGCACCTCGGGGCTCTACGGGGCCTTCATCAGGTCTGGGGGTCCTGGGGGAAACCTGGGGGGTTTCTGGGGGGCTCAGAACCTTCTGGGAGGTCCTGAAGGGGGTCCTGGGGGGGGTTCTGGGGGTGTCAGAACATTCCGGGGGTCCTGGGAGGTTCAAAACCTTCTGGGGATGTTCTGCAGCACCTCGGGGCACTACGGGGCCTTCATCAGGTCTGGGGGTCCTGGGGGCTTCTGGGGGGTCCTGGGGGGGGTCCTGGGGGTGTCAGAAACTCCTGGGGGGTGTCAGAACCTTCTGAGGGTCCTGGGAAGTTCAAAACCTTCTGGGGGCCATGGGGATGTTCTTCAGCACCTCGGGGCTCTACGGGGCCTTCATCAGGTCTGGGGGTCCTGGGGGAAACCTGAGGGGGTTCTGGGGGGTCCTGGGGGGGTTCTGGGGGTGTCAGAAACCCCTGGGGGGGTTCTGGGGGTGTCAGAACCTCCTGGGGGGTGTCAGAACCTCCTGGGGGTCCTGGGAGGCTCAGAACCTCCTGGGGGTCCTGGGGATGGTCTTCAGCCCCACGGGGCTCTACGGGGCCTTCATCAGGTCTGGGGGTCCTGGGGGAAACCTGGGGGGTTTCTGGGGGGCTCAGAACCTTCTGGGAGGTCCTGAAGGGGGTCCTGGGGGGGGTTCTGGGGGTGTCAGAACATTCCGGGGGTCCTGGGATGTTCAAAACCTTCTGGGGATGTTCTTCAGCACCACGGGGCTCTACGGGGCTTTCATCAGGTCTGGGGGTCCTGGGGGCTTCTGGGGGGTCCTGGGGGGGTCCTGGGGGTGTCAGAACCTTCTGGGGGGGTGTCAGAACCTCCTGGGGGTCCTGGGAGGCTCAGAACCTTCTGGGGGCCATGGGGATGGTCTTCAGCACCACGGGGCTCTATGGGGCCTTCATCAGGTCTGGGGGTCCTGGGGGGCCCTGTGGGGGTCCTGGAGAGGGTTCTGGGGGTGTCAGAACCTCCTGGGGGTCCTGGGGGGGGTCCTGGGTCTGTCAGGACCTCTTGGGGGTCCTGGGGGTCCCGGGGATGGGGGGTCAGAACCCCCTGGGGGTCCTGGGGGCATCAGAACCTCTTGGGGGTCCTGGGGGTCCCAGGGGTGGGGGGGTCAGAACCTCTTGGGGGTCCTGGGGGTCCTGGGGGTGGGGGGGTCGGAACCTCCTGGGGGTCCTGGGTCTGTCAGAACCTCTTGGGGGTCCTGGGGGTCCCGGGGGTGGGGGGTCAGAACCTGCTGGGGGGGTCCTGGGTCTGTCAGAACCTCTTGGGGGTCCTGGGGGGGTCCTGGGTCTGTCAGAACCTCTTGGGGGTCCTGGGGGTCCTGGGGGTGGGGGGGTCAGAATCTCCTGGGGGTCCTGGGGGTCCCAGGGGTGGGGGGTCAGAACCTGCTGGGGGTCCCGGGGGTGGGGGCTCAGAACCTGCTGGGGTCCCAGGGGTGGGGGTGTCAGAACCTGATGGGGGTCCTGGGTCTGTCAGAACCTCTTGGGGGTCCTGGGTCTGTCAGAACCTCCTGGGGGTCCCGGGGGTGGGGGGTCAGAACCTCCTGGGGGTCCCGGTGGGGCCATGGGGGTACCCGGGATGCGCTGGGGAGTTTCGGGGGTGTTGTGGGGTGGTCCCGGTGGTCTGACCCCCTCCCCAGGAGCCTGGACAGCCTCCAGGGGCGGCCGCGGGGGTCTCCGCCGCCCCCCCTGCCCATCGGCGGCGTCATCCTGAGCCTGCGGGACCTGATCGGGTACCTGGAGCCGCCGCCCGCCGAGCTGCGGCACGAGCAGCGCCAGGCCCGGCTGCGGGCGCTGCGGGCCCGCCAGAGCCTCTTCCAGCAGGAGGTGCCGCCCGGGAGCCCTCGGGCGGGGGGGGCTAAACTGGGGGTTAAAGGGTTAAACTGGGGCTTAAGGGTTAAACTCGGGGGTAGAGGGTTAAACTGGGGGTTAAAGGGTTAAACTCGGGGTTAAAGGGTTAAACTGGGGCTTAAAGGGTTAAACTCAGAGTTAGAGGGTTAAACTCGGGGTTAAAGGGTTAAACTGGGGGTTAAAGGGTTAAACTCGGGGGTAGGGGGTTAAACTCAGGGGTAGAAGGTTAAATTCGGGGGTTAAAAGGGTTAAATTCGGGGTTAAAGGGTTAAACTCGGGGTTAAAGGGTTAAACTGGGGCTTAAAGGGCTAAACTGGGGCTTAAAGGGTTAAACTGGGGGCTTAAAGGGTTAAACTCGGGGGTAGAAAGGGTTAAACTCGGGGGTAGAAAGGGTTAAAGTCGGGGGTAGAAAGGGTTAAAGTCGGGGGTAGAAAGGGTTAAACTCGGGGTTAGAGAGGGTTAAATTTGGGGTTAAAGGGTTAAATTTGGGGTTAAAGGGTCCCAGTTTGGGGGTCCCAGTTTGGGGGTCCCAGTTTGGGGGTCCCAGGGGGGGTCAGTTTGGGGGTCCCAGTTTGGGGGTCCCATGGGGGGGTCAGTCCCAGTCTGGGGGTCCATGGGGGAGTCAGTCCCAGCCCGGGGGTTCCAGCCTGGGGGTCCCACTCCGGGGGTCCCAGCCCGGGGGTCCCACCCCGGGTCTCTCCCCCCCGCACAGGGGATGCTGACGCTGGTGCCAGTTTGGGGGTCCCAGTCTGGGGGTCCCGGGGGGGGTCAGTCCCAGTTTGGGGGTCCCGGTTTGGGGGTCCCACCCCGGTGGTCTCTCCCCCCAGGGGATGCTGACGCTGGTGCCCGTTTGGGGGTCCCATGGGGGGTCAGTCCCAGTTTGGGGGTCCCGGGGGGGTCAGTTTGGGGGTCCCAACCCCGGGGGTCTCTTCCCCCCCCCCCCCGGCACAGGGCATGCTGACGCTGGTGCCAGTTTGGGGGTCCCAGTTTGGGGGTCCCAGTTTGGGGGTCCCACGGGGGGGTCAGTCCCAGTTTGGGGGTCCCATGGGAGGGTCAGTCCCAGTTTGGGGGTCCCAGTCTGGGGGTCCCGGGGGGGGTCCCAGTTTGGGGGTCCCAGCCCGAGGGTCCCAGCCCGGGGGTCCCACTCCGGGGGTCTCTCCCCCCCCCCAGGGGATGCTGACGCTGGTCCCAGTTTGGGGATCCCATGGGGGGGTCAGTCCCAGCTCGGGGGTCCCAGGAGGGGTCAGTTTGGGGGTCCCACTCCGGGGGTCTCTCCCCGCAGGGGATGCTGACGCTGGTGCCAGTTAGGGGGTCCCATACGGGGTCAGTCCCAGCTCGGGGGTCCCGGGGGTCCCGGTTTGGGGGTCCCACCCCAGGTCTCTCCCCCCTCGCTCAGGGGATGCTGACCCTGGTGCCAGTTTGGGGATCCCAGGGGGGGTCAGTTTGGGGGTCCCACCCCGGGTCTCCCCCCGCAGGGGATGCTGACGCTGGTGCCAGTCCGGGGGTCCCAGGGGGGGTCAGTCCCAGCTCGGGGGTCCCAGGAGGGGTCAGTTTGGGGGTCCCACCCCGGTGGTCTCCCCCCAGGGCATGCTGACGCTGGTGCTGAGCTGCATCGACCGGCTGAGCGCGTACAGCACCGCGGCGCAGTTCGGGGAGAACGCGGGCGAGGAGGCGGCGGCGGCCTGGAAGGAGATCGTCAACCTGCTCTACGAGCTGCTGGGTGAGCGGGCTATGGGGCAGGTGGGGGGGGCAGATGGGGGGTGTGGGGGGCAGATGTGGGGTGGGGGGGGCAGATATGGGGGTTGTGGGGGGCGGATATGGGGGTTGTGGGGGGCAGATGGGGGGTGTGGGGGGCGGATGGGGGGTGTGGGGGGGGCAGATATGGGGTGTGGGGGGCAGGTGTGGGGTGTGGGGGGCAGATATCAGTGCCATGGGGCAGATATCAGTTCTATGGGGCAGATATCAGCGCTGTGGGGTAGATATCAGTTCTATGGGGCAGATATCGGCACCGTGGGGCAGATATGGGTTCTATGGGGCAGATATCAGTTCTATTGGGCAGATATCAGTTCTATGGGGCAGATATCGGCGCCATGGGGCAGACGCAGGTACCCTGGGGCAGATATCGGCGCCGTGCGGCAGATATGGGTTCTATGGGGCAGATATGGGTTCTATGGGGCAGATATCAGTGCCATGGGGCAGATATCAGTTCTATGGGGCAGATATGGGTTCTATGAGGCAGATATGGGTTCTATGGGGCAGATATTGGTTAATGGGGCAGATATCAGTTCTACGGGGCAGATATCAGTTCTATGGGGCAGATATCAGTTCTGTGGGGCAGATATCGGCGCCGTGGTGCCGATGTTGGTCCTGTGGGGCAGGGCTGACCCCCGTGCCCCACAGCCTCGCTGATCCGGGGGAACCGCGCCAACTGCGCGCTCTTCTCCACCAACCTGGACTGGCTGGTCAGCAAGCTGGACCGGCTGGAGGCCTCCTCGGGTCAGTGGGGCGGCCGTGGGGCCGGGGGGGCTGGGGGGTCCTGTGGGGCTGGAGGCCTCCTCGGGTCAGTGGGGCGCCCGTGGGGCCCTGGGGGGCTGGGGGGCTGGGGGGTCCTGTGGGGCTGGGGGGTCCTGTGGGGCTGGGGTCCCTCCTGAGGGTCTGGGGTCTCTGCTATGGGTCTGGGGTCCCTCCTGTGGGTCTGGGGTCGGTGCTGCGGTGCCCCTGAGCGCTGTGGGGCCACCCCACATCCCACACCCCACACCCAACATCCCCCACGCCCCACACCCCACACCTTATGGCCCACACCCCAAGACCCACACCCCACACCCCATGGCCCATGCTCCACACCCCACGGCCCATGCCCCACACCCCACACGTGCCCCACACGTGCCCCACACCTGCCCCACACCTGCCCCACACGTGCCCAGGCATCCTGGAGGTGCTGTACTGCGTGCTGATCGAGAGCCCCGAGGTGCTGAACATCATCCAGGAGAACCACATCAAGTCCATCATCTCCCTGCTCGACAAGCACGGCCGCAACCACAAGGTGGGGGCCCAGGGGGGCCCGGGGGGGCTCAGGTGTGCCCAGGGGTGCCCAGGTGTGTGCCCAGGGGTGCCCAGGGGGGCCCAGGGGGGCCCAGGTGTGCCCAGGGGGGCCCAGGTGTCCCTAGATGTGTTCTCAGGTGTCCCCAGGTGTCCCTAGATGTCCCTAGGTGTGTGCCCAGGGATGCCCAGGTGGGCCCAGGTGTGCCCAGGTGGGCCCAGGTGTCTCTAGGTGTGTGCCCAGGGGTGCCCAGGTGTCCCCAGCCGTGCCCAGCCATGCCCAGGTGTGCTGAGGCGTGTCCCCAGGTGTCCCCAGGTGTCCCCAGGTGTCCCGAGGCATGTCCCCAGGTGTCCCCAGGTGTCCCCAGCTGTGCTCAGGCATGTCCCCAGGTGTCCCCAGCTGTCCCCAGCTGTCCCCAGGTGTGCTGAGGCGTGTCCCCGCAGGTGCTGGACGTGCTGTGCTCGCTGTGTGTCTGCAACGCGGTGGCCGTGCGCTCCAACCAGAACCTGATCACCGAGAACCTGCTGCCGCGCCGCGACCTGCTGCTGCAGACCGGCATGGTCAACTACGTCACCAGGTGGGACACCTGCCGCACCTGGGGCTCCGAGGGCTCCTGGGGAGCGGAGTTTGGGGTTTCGGGGGGTTCGGGGCCGTTTCCAGGGGGACTGGAGGTTGTTGAGGTGCGCCCAGAAGCTCCTGAGATGTTTCCAGAAGAACCTGGGGACTTCTGGAAGCTCCTGAGATGTTTCCAGAAGAACCTGGGCACTTCTGGAAGCTCCTGAGATGTTTCCAGAAGAACTTGGGGGCACCTGTGGGAGTTTTGGAGGGTCCTGGGGGGCTTTGAGGGGCTAAGGGGGTCCTGGGGATGGGGTTTTGGGGTGGTTTTGGGGGTTTTGGGGGTTTTGGGGTTGGTTGAGATGTACCTGGAAAGTCTTGAGATGCTCCTGGAGGTCCCTGAGCACCTTTGGGGTGGGATCTGGGGTTCTCAGGGTGGGATTTGGGGTTCCCAGGGTGGGATTCAGGTCTCTCCAGGTGGGATTCGGGGTTCCCAGGCTGGGATTCGGGGTTCCCAGAGTGGGATTCGAGTCTCTCCGGGTGGGATTCGGGGTTCCCAGAGTGGGATTTGGGGTTCCCGGGCTGGGATTTGGGGTTCCCAGGGTGGGATTCGGGGTTCCCGGGCTGGGATTTGGGTCTCTCCGGGTGGGATTTGGGGTTCCCACGGTGGGATTTGGATCTCTCCGGGTGGGATTTGGGGTTCCCAGAGTGGGATCTGGGGTTCCCGGGGTGGGATTCGGGGTTCCCAGGGTGGGATTCGGGTCTCTCCGGGTGGGATTCGGGGTTCTCAGGGTGGGATTTGGGGTTCCCAGGGTGGGATTCGGGTCTCTCTGTCTGGGATTTGGGGTTCCCGGGCTGGGATTTGGGGTTCCCAGAGTGGGGTTTGGGGTTCCCAGGGTGGGATTTGGGGTTCCCGGGGTGGGATTTGGGGTTCCCGGGCTGGGATTTGGGGTTCCCAGAGTGGGGTTTGGGGTTCCCAGGGTGGGATTTGGGGTTCCCAGGTTGGGATCTGAAGTTCCCAAGGTGGGATTTGGGGTTCCCGGGCTGGCATTTGGGTCTCTCCGTCTGGGATTTGGGGTTCCCAAGGTGGGATTTGGGGTTCCCGGGGTGGGATTCGGGGTTCCCAGGGTGGGATTTGGGGTTCCCAGGGTGGGATCTGGGGTTCCCAAGGTGGGATCTGGGGTTCCCAGGGTGGGATTCGGGTCTCTCCGGGTGGGATTTGGGGTTCCCAGGATGGGATTTGGGGTTCCCAGGATGGGATTTGGGGTTCCTAGGATGGGATCTGGGGTTCCCAGGGTGGGATTTGGGGTTCCTGGGGTGGGATTTGGGGTTCCCGGGGTGGGATTCGGGTCTCTCCGGCTGGGATTCGGGGTTCCTGGGGTGGGATTTGGGGTTCCCGGGCTGGGATTTGGGGTTCCCAAGGTGGGATTCGGGGTTCCCAGGATGGGATTTGGGGTTCCCGGGGTGGGATTTGGGGTTCCCAAGGTGGGATTTGGGGTTCCCAAGGGTGGGATTTGGGGTTCCCAGGGTGGGATTCGAGTCTCTCCGGGTGGGATTCGGGGTTCCCGGGGTGGGATTTGGGGTTCCCGGGCTGGGATTTGGGGTTCCCGGGGTGGGATTTGGGGTTCCCAGGATGGGATTTGGATCTCTCCAGGTGGAATTTGGGGTTCCCAGGGTGGGATTTGGGGTTCCCGGGGTGGGATTTGGGGTTCTCAGGGTGGGATTTGGATCTCTCCAGGTGGAATTTGTGGTTCCCAGGATGGGATTTGGATCTCCCAGGGTGGGATTTGGGGTTCCCGGGCTGGGATTTGGGGTTCCCAGGGTGGGATTTGGATCTATCCAGGTGGGATTTGGGGTTCCCAGGGTGGGATTCAGGTCTCTCCGGGTGGGATTCGGGGTTCCCAGGGTGGGATTCGGGGTTCCCAGGGTGGGATTCGGGTCTCTCCGGGTGGGATTCGGGGTTCCCGGGGTGGGATTCGGGTCTCTCCAGGTGGGATTTGGGGTTCCCAGGGTGGGATTCGGGTCTCTCCGGGTGGGATTCGGGTCTCTCCGGGTGGGATTTGGGTCTCTCCGGGTGGGATCTGGGGTTCCCGGGGTGGGATTCGGGTCTCTCCAGGTGGGGTTTGGGTCTCTTGGGGTGGGATCTGGGGTTCCCGGGGTGGGATTCGGGTCTCTCCAGGTGGGGTTTGGGGTTCCCGGGGTGGGATTTGGGGTTCCCAGGGTGGGATTCGGGTCTCTCCAGGTGGGATTCGGGTCTCTCCAGGTGGGATTTGGGGTTCCCAGGATGGGATTTGGGGTTCCCAGGGTGGGATTTGGGGTTCCCAGGGTGGGATTCGGGTCTCTCCGGGTGGGATTTGGGGTTCTCGGGGTGGGATTTGGGGTTCCCAGGGTGGGATTCGGGTCTCTCGGTGTGGGATTTGGGGTTCCCAGGATGGGATTTGGGTCTCTCCTGGTGGGGTTTGGGGTTCCCAGGGTGGGATTCGGGTCTCTTGGGGTGGGATTCGGGTCTCTCTGGGTGGGATTCGGGGTTCCCAGCGGCGTGTCCCCTCTCCCCCGCAGCGTGCGCCCCAACCTGTTTGTGGGGACGGCGCCGGGCTCGACGCAGTTCCGCTGTTGGTACTTCGAGGTGGCCGTGGAGCGCGCCCGGCCCTTCGTCACCGCCGTGCCCACCCACCTGCGCGTGGGCTGGGGGGCGGCCGGGGGCTTCCGGCCCTCCCCGGGCGGGGGCGCGGGCTGGGGGGGCAACGGCGCCGGAGACGACCTCAACTCCTTCGCCTTCGACGGCCTCCACCTGTGGACAGGTGAGCAGGGGCACCTGGGACCACCCGGGAGCGCCTGGGAGCACCTTGGGAGCCCCTGGGACCCCCTGGGACCACCCAGGGGCACCTTGGGAGCCCCCGGGACCACCTTGGGAACCACCTGGGACCACCCGGGAGCACCTGGGGAACCCCTGGGACCACCTTGGGAACCCCCGAGAACCCCCAGGAACCTCCTGGGACCACCCAAGGACCACCCTGGGAACCCCCTGGGACCCTCTGGAACTCCCTGGGAACACCCTGGGACCACTCTGGGAACCCCCTGGGACCCTCTGGGACCACTCTGGGAACCCCCTGGGACCCTCTGGAACCCCCTGGGACCCCCTGGGACCCCCTGGGACCCCCTGGGACCCCCTGGGACCCTCTGGGACCCTCTGGAACTCCCTGAGAACATCCTGGGACCACCCTGGGACCCTCTGGGACCCCCTGTGACCCCTTGGGACCCTCTGGGACCCCCGTGACCCCCCTGACCCCTCTGTCCCCCCCAGGGGGTGTCCCCAAGGCCGTGGCGTCCCCCCAGCGCTGGGCTCTGGCCGAGGGGGACGTGGTCAGCTGCTGTCTGGATTTGGGGGTCCCTGTGACCCCTGTGACCCCTGTGACCCCCGTGACCCCCCTGTGACCCCTGTGACCCCCGTGACCCCCCTGTGACCCCTGTGACCCCTCTGTCCCCCCCAGGGGGTGTCCCCAAGGCCGTGGCGTCCCCCCAGCGCCGGGCTCTGGCCGAGGGGGACGTGGTCAGCTGCTGTCTGGATTTGGAGGTCCCTGTGACCCCTGTGACCCCCCATGACCCCCCCTGACCCCTCTGTCCCCCCCAGGGGGTGTCCCCAAGGCCGTGGCGTCCCCCCAGCGCCGGGCTCTGGCCGAGGGGGACGTGGTCAGCTGCTGTCTGGATTTGGGGGTCCCTGTGACCCCCTGTGACCCCCTGTGACCCCCCATGACCCCCTGACCCCTCTGTCCCCCCAGGGGGTGTCCCCAAGGCCGTGGCGTCCCCCCAGCGCCGGGCTCTGGCCGAGGGGGACGTGGTCAGCTGCTGTCTGGATTTGGGGGTCCCTGTGACCCCTGTGACCCCCTGTGACCCCCTGTGACCCCTGTGTCCCCCCCAGGGGGTGTCCCCAAGGCCGTGGCGTCCCCCCAGCGCCGGGCTCTGGCCGAGGGGGACGTGGTCAGCTGCTGCCTGGATTTGGGGGTCCCTGTGACCCCTGTGACCCCCTGTGACCCCTGTGACCCCTGTGACCCCTGTGACCCCCCTGTGACCCCTCTGTCCCCCCCAGGGGGTGTCCCCAAGGCCGTGGCGTCCCCCCAGCGCCGGGCTCTGGCCGAGGGGGACGTGGTCAGCTGCTGTCTGGATTTGGGGGTCCCCAGCGCCTCCTTCCGCCTCAACGGGGCCCCGGTCCAGGGGGTCCTGGAGGGCTTCAACCTCGACACCCTCTTCAGCCCCGTGGCCAGCTTCTCGGCGGGGGTCCGGTGAGGGGGGACCCCCAGACTGGGGGGTGGGACCCCTGACAGGGGCTGGGACCCCTAACGGGGGGGTGGGACCCCTGAAACGGGCTGGGATCCATAAAGTGGGGGGTGGGACCCCTGGAAGGGGCTGGGACCCCTAAAGTGGGGGGTGGGACCCATAAAGGGGGGGCTGGGACCCCTGAAACGGGCTGGGACCCCTAAAGGGGGGGGTGGGACCCCTGAAACGGGCTGGGACCCATAAAGTGGGGGGTGGGACCCCTAAAGTGGGGGGTGGGACCCCTAAAAGGGGGTGGGACCCCTAAAGTGGGGGGTGGGATCCTTAAAGGAGGGGCTGAGCGGCTCTGGGGGAGTTGGGGGGTGGGTTTGGGGGCTCCTGTGGGGTCTGTGGGGTCTCTGTGGGTCCGGGGCTCTCACTCCGGTACCCCCCCGCCCCCCCAGGCTGCGGTTCCTGCTGGGGGGTTTCTATGGGGTCTATGGGGTCTCTATGGGTCCGGTCTCACTCCGGTACCCCCCTGCCCCCCAGGCTGCGGTTCCTGCTGGGGGGTTTCTATGAGGTCTATGGGGTCTCTATGGGTCCGGCTCTCACTGGGGGGTTTCAGTGGGGTCTGTGGGGTTTCAGTGGGGTCTCTATGGGTCCGGCTCTCACTCCGGTACCCCCTGTGCCCCCCAGGCTGCGGTTCCTGCTCGGGGGCCGGCACGGCGAGTTCCGCTTCGTGCCCCCGCCCGGGTACGCGCCCTGCGCCGAGGCGCTGCTGCCCCGGGAGCGGCTGCGGCTGGAGCCGCTGACCGCGTACCGCGGCTCGGCCCCGCCCGGGGCCCGCAGCCTGCTCGGGCCCGGCCGCGCCCTGCCCCACACCGCCTTCACCCCCTGCCCCGTGGACACCTGCCAGGTGCGGCCCGGCAGGGGAGGGGGACTGGGGGGGATTGGGATGGGGGTTTGGGGGGCATGGGAGGGGGATTGGGGGGATTGGGACAGGGTTAGGGGGCGTGGAAGGGGGACTGGGGGGATTGGGATGGGGGTTAGGGGGGATGGAAGGGGGTTTTGGGGGGATGGAAGGGGGTTTTGGGGGGATGGAAGGGGGTTTGGGGGGATTGGGATGGGAATTGGGGGGATTGGGATGGGGGTTAGGGGGGATGGAAGGGGGTTTTGGGGGGGTGGAAAGGGGTTTTGGGGGGATGGAAGGGGGTTTGGGGGGATTGGGATGGGGGTTAGAGGGGTTGGGATGGGGGTTAGGGGGGATGGAAGGGGGTTTTGGGGCATGGGAGGGGGTTTTGAGGGGATGGAAGCGGGTTTGGGGGGATGGAAGGGGGTTTTGGGGGCATGGGAGGGGGATTGGGATGGGAATTGGGGGGATTGGGATGGGGTTTGGGGCATGGGAGGGGGTTTGGGGGGATGGAAGGGGGTTTGGGGGGCAGGGGAGGGGGTTAGGGGGCATGGAAGGGGGATTGGGGGAATTGGGATGGGAGTTAAGGGGATGGAAAGGGGAATTGGGGGGATTGGGGTGGGAATTGGGGGGATTGGGACAGGGTTTGGGGGGATGGAAGGGGGTTTTGGGGGATTGGGATGGGATGGAAGGGGGACTTGGGGTGATTGGGATGGGAATTGGGGGGATTAGGACAGGGTTTGGGGGCATGGAAGGGGGTTTTGGGGGGATGGGAGGGGGATTGGGGGGATTGGGATGGGGTTTGGGGCATGGGAGGGGGTTTTGAGGGGATGGAAGGGGGTTTTGGGGGGATGGATGGAGGTTCTGGGGGGATTGGGATGGGGGTTAGGGGGACGGAGGTGGGATTTGGGGCAGGGTTTAGGGGGTTTCACGGGGTTTGGGGGATTTTGTGGGGTCCAACACCCCCTTTTCCCCCTCAGATCGTGCTGCCCCCACACCTGGAGCGCATCCGGGAGAAGCTGGCGGAGAATATCCACGAGCTCTGGGCCCTGACCCGCATTGAGCAGGGCTGGACCTACGGGCCTGTGAGTGGGGCACCCCAAAACCCCCCAGGAACCCCGAAATTCCCCTGGGGATCCTAAAATCCCCTGGGAACCCCAAACCCCATAACAAAACCCCACAAAAACCCCACAAAAACCCCCAAACCCACCCTGAGCTCTGGGCCCTGACCCGCATCGAGCAGGGCTGGACCTACGGGCCTGTGAGTGGGGCACCCCAAAACCCCCCAGGAACCCCGAAATTCCCCCTGGGGAACCCAAAAATCCCACCAGGGAACCCCAAAATCCCCCATGGAACCCCAAAATCTCCCCTGGGAACCCCAAAAATCCCACCAGGGAACCCCAAAATCCCCCCAGGAACCCCAAAATCTCCCCTGGGAACCCCAAAAATCCCACCAGGGACCCCAAAATCTCCCTCAGGAACCCCAAAATCTCTCCTGGGAACCCCAAAATCCCCCATGAAACCCCAAAATCCCCCTGGGGAACCCCAAAATCTTCACCAGACACCCCAAAATCCCCCCAGGAACCCCAAAAATCCCACCAGGGAACCCCAAAATCTCCCCTGGGAACCCCAAAAATCCCACCAGGGAACCCCAAAATCTCCCCTGGGAACCCCAAAAATTCAACCAGGGAACCCCAAAATCCCCCATGGAACCCCAAAATCCCCCAGGGAACCCCAAAATCCCCTATCTGATATCCTTTGGAAAGGTCCCCAGATTGAGGTCCCTTTTTGGGGCTCCCTAAATTGGGGTTTCCCCTTTTCGGGGTTCCCTTTCCGGGGTTCCCCGAGCTTTGGCTCCTTTCTGAGGCGATCCTGTGGGGTGCTTTTGGTGGATCCTTTGGGGTGGGTTTTTGGGGGTCCCTGGCCGGGCTGGGGGTGGTGCCGGTGGCCAGGAGGTGTTTTTGGGGTGCCCCAGGTCCGGGACGACGTGCAGCGGCTGCACCCCTGTCTGCTGAGCTTCCACAGCCTCCCCGAGCCCGAGCGCGGCTACAACCTCCAGATGTCGGGGGAGACCCTCAAGTGAGGGGCACCGGGAAATTTGGGGGTCCCCTCCTCTTTGGGGCACCCCCAGGGAAAGGGGACGTGGGTTTGGGGAGGAATCGCCCCAAAACGACGTGGGTTTGGGGAGGAATCACCCCAAAACGACGCGGGTTTGGGGTCCCCTCTGAGCCTGGGGGTGGTGGGGATGGTTTTGGGGTCACCCCTCACCTGGGGGAGTTTGGGGGATTGGGAGACTGGGGGAGTTTGGGGGGGTTTTGGGGTTCAGATGGTTTTGGGGTCACCCCTCACCTCAGACTGGGGGGGCTGGGGGGGGTTTTGGGGTTCAGATGGTTTTGGGGTCACCCCTCACCTCAGACTGGGGGGGGACTGGGGGGCTTTTTGGGGTTCAGATGGTTTTGGGGTCACCCCTCACCTGGGTGAGTTTGGGGGGTTTTGGGGTTCAGATGGTTTTGGGGTCACTCCTCACCTCAGACTGGGGGAGTTTGGGGGGTTTGGGGGTTCAGATGGTTTTGGGGTCACTCCCTACCTCAGACTGGGGGAGTTTGGGGGGTTTTGGGGTTCAGATGGTTTTGGGGTCACCCCTCATCTCAGACTGGGGGAGTTTGGGGGGTTTTGGGGTTCAGATGGTTTTGGGGTCACCCCTCACCTCAGACTGGGGGGGCTGGGGGAGGTTTTGGGGTTCAGATGGTTTTGGGGTCACCCCTCACCTCAGGCTGGGGGGGCTGGGGTGGGTTTGGGGCTCCCCCACTTTGGGGTGTCTCCCCAGACCAGTCTGAGTTTTGGAGCCCCCCCCACCCTGAGCCCCCTGGAGTTGGGGGTGCGGGATTTGGGGCAGGGGGGCTTTGGGGGGTCAGAGTTTGGGGGTGCTGATTTTTGGGGTGTCCCCAGGACGCTGCTGGCCCTGGGCTGCCACGTGGGGATGGCGGACGAGAAGGCCGAGGAGAACCTGAGGAAGATCAAACTGCCCAAGACGTGGGTTTGGGGGGGCTGGGGGGGCGGGGGTCCCAGTTTGGGGGGCTGGGGGGGTGGGAGTCCCAGTTTGGGGGGGCTGGGGGGGCGGGGGTCCCAGTTTGGGGGGGCTGGGGGGGCGGGGGTCCCAGTTTGGGGGGGCTGGGGGGCGGGGGTCCCAGTTTGGGGGGGCTGGGGGGGCGGGGGTCCCAGTTTGGGGGGGCTGGGGGGGCGGGGGTCCCAGTTTGGGGGGGGCTGGGGGGTGGGGGTCCCAGTTTGGGGGGCTGGGGGTCCCAGTTTGGGGGGGCTGGGGGGGTCCCAGTTTGGGGGTCCCTGTAGGAGATCCCAGTTTGAGGTCCCAGTTGGGTTGTGACATCCCCATTGAGTTGGGATGTCCCAGTTGGGTTGGGATGTCCCAGTTTGGAGACCACTGAGGAGGTTTGGGGTGCCCATGGGTGGGGTGAGTTCTGGGTGCCCCGGGGTGCCCTGGGGTGCCCTGGGGGTGGTCCCACAGGTGTGTCACCCCCTCCCCAGGTACACCATGTCCAACGGGTCAAGGTTGGGTTGGGATGTCCCGGTTGGGTTGGGACGTCCCAGTTGAGTTGGGATGTCCCAGTTTGGACACCATTGAGGAGGTTTGGGGTCCCCATGGGTGGGGTGAGTTCTGGGTGCCCCGGGGTGCCCAGGGGGTGGTCCCACAGGCGTGTCACCCCCTCCCCAGGTACACCATGTCCAACGGGTACAAGGTCAGGTTGGGATGTCCCAGTTGAGTTGGGATGTCCCAGTTTGGACACCATTGAGGAGGTTTGGGGTCCCCATGGGTGGGGTGAGTTCTGGGTGGCCCAGGGCACCCAGGGGTGGTCCCACAGGTGTGTCCCCCCTCCCCAGGTACACCATGTCCAACGGGTACAAGCCGGCCCCGCTGGACCTGTCGCACGTGCGGCTGACGCCGGCCCAGCTGACCCTGGTGGATCGCCTGGCCGAGAACGGCCACAACGTCTGGGCCCGGGACAGGGTCCAGCAGGGCTGGACCTACAGCACCACCCAGGTGGGGACCTGGGGACCCTCTGGGGACCCCCCAAATCCCCCAGAGGGACCCCTGCCCACCCCAAAAACCCCTCTTGGCCTTGCCCTGTGTCCCCATGGCCGTGTCCCCACACCTGTGGGGGTGTCCCTGTGTCCCCACACCCCGAGCTCAGTGTCCCTGGGTCCCCACACCCTGAGCCCTCTGTCCCTGTGTCCCCATGGCCTGATCCTGGTGTCCCCATGTCCCCACACCTCTGGGGGTGTCCCCACACCCCTGACCCCTTTGTCCCCGTGTCCCCACACCCCGACCCCGCTGTCCCCATGTCCCCACACCCTGAGCCCGCTGTCCCCGTGTCCCCACACCCGTGAGCCCAATGTCCCCACACCCTGAGCCTTCTGTCCCCGTGTCCCCACGCCCCAACCCCGCTGTCCCCATGTCCCCACACCCTGAGCCCGCTGTCCCCATGTCCCCACACCCGTGAGCCCAATGTCCCCATGTCTCCACACCCCGACCCCGCTGTCCCCGTGTCCCCACACCCCTGAGCCCCATGTCCCCACACCCTGAGCCTTCTGTCCCCGTGTCCCCACACCCCAACCCCGCTGTCCCCATGTCCCCACACCCCTGAAACCTTTGTCCCCGTGTCCCCACACCCCTGAGCCCAATGTCCCCACACCCCTGAACCCTCTGTCCCCGTGTCCCCACACCCCTGAGCCCAATGTCCCACCCTCCTCTGGGGATGTCCCCACACCCCGACCCTGCTGTCCCCACACCCCGACCCTGCTGTCCCCGTGTCCCCACACCCCTGAGCCCCGTGTCCCCACACCCCGACCCCGCTGTCCCCGTGTCCCCACACCTCTGGGGGTGTCCCCACACCCCTGTGTCCCCGTGTCCCCACACCCCTGAGCCCTCTCTCCCCATGTCCCCACACCCCTGTGTCCCCGTGTCCCCACACCTCTGGGGGTGTCCCCACACCCCTGTGTCCCCATGTCCCCACACCCCTGAGCCCAATGTCCCACCCCCCTCTGGGGATGTCCCCACACCCCAACCCCGCTGTCCCCGTGTCCCCACACCCCGACCCCGCTGTCCCGCGTCCCCAGGACATCAAGAACAAGCGGAACCCGCGGCTGGTGCCCTACAACCTGCTGGACGAGGGCACCAAGGCCACCAACCGCGAGAGCCTGTGCCAGGCCGTGCGGACCCTGCTGGGCTACGGCTACAACATCGAGCCCCCCGACCAGGAGACGCGTGAGTGGCCCGGGGACACCTGGGGACACCTGGGGACAGCTGGGGACACTTGGGTGACCTTCCTGGGGGTCTCCGTGTCCCGTTTTTGGGGTACTGACCCCCCCGTTCTCCCCCAGATTCTCAGGGTGTGCCCTCGGGGGGTCCCGGCGCCCCCCAGCCGTGGCTGTTGGTGCTGTTTGGGTGCCAGTTTTGGGGTTCCATGTCCCATTTTTGGGGTTCCATGTCCCTTTTTTGGGCTCTCTGGGTGCCATTTTTGGGGTTCCATGTCCTGTTTTTGGGGTTCCATGTCCTGTTTTGGGGTTCCATGTCCCTTTTTTGGGCTCTCTGGGTGCCGTTTTTGGGTGCAGTTTTTGGGGTTCCATGTCCCGTTTTTGGGTTTCTATCTCTTGGTTTTGGGATTCCATGTCCCATTTTTGGGGTTCCATGTCCCATTTTGGGGTTCCATGTCCCGTTTTTGTGTTTCCATGTCCCGTTTTTGGGCTCTCTGGGTGCCGTTTTTGGGGTTCCATGTCCCGTTTTTGGGGTTCCATGTCCCATTTTTGCGTTTCCATGTCCCGTTTTTGGGGTTCCATGTCCCATTTTTGGATTTTCATATCCCATTTTTGGGGTTCCATGTCCCGTTTTTGGGCTCTTTGGGTGCCGTTTTTGGGCTCTCTGGGTGCTGTTTTTGGGCTCTCTGGGTGCCGTTTTTGGGCTCTCTGGGTGCCGTTTTTGGGGTGCTGACCCCTGTCCCCCCCCCCCAGCCTCGCAGGGGGCGGTTCCCGGGGGTCCCCGCGCCCCCCGGCCGCGGCTGTTCCGGGCGGAGCGCAGCTCTCTGGGTGCCGTTTTTGGGCTCTCTGAGTGCCGTTTTTGGGGTTCCATGTCCCGTTTTTGGGGTTCCATGTCCCATTTTTGGGCTCTCTGGGTGCTGTTTTTGGGCTCTCTGGGTGCTGTTTTCGGGGTGCTGACCCCTGTCCCCCCCAGCCTCGCAGGGCACAGTTCCCGGGGGTCCCCGCGCCCCCCGGCCGCGGCTGTTCCGGGCAGAGCGCGGCTCTCTGGGTGCTGTTTTTGGGTGCCATTTTTGGGGTTCCATGTCCCGTTTTTGGGCTCTCTGGGTGCCGTTTTTGGGCTCTCTGGGTGCTGTTTTTGGGGTTCCATGTCCCGTTTTTGGGGTGCTGACCCCTGTCCCCCCCCAGCCTCGCAGGGCACGGTTCCCGGGGGTCCCCGCGCCCCCCGGCCGCGGCTGTTCCGGGCGGAGCGCAGCTCGGCCGTGCGCAGCGGCCGTTGGTACTTCGAGTTCCAGGCGGTGACGGCCGGAGAGATGCGCGTGGGGTGGGCCCGGCCCGGCCTGCGCCCCGACACCGAGCTGGGCGCCGACGACATGGCCTTCGTCTTCAACGGGCACCGGGTGAGCCTGGGGACACGGGGGGACATGGGTGGGGACAGCCAGGGACACGTGGGGACACGTGGGGACATGGAGGGGGGACATGGCCTTCGTCTTCAACGGGCACCGGGTGAGCCCCAGGGGACACGGGGGGGACATGGGGACACGGGGACACGGGGACACGGGTGGGGACAGCCAGGGACACGTGGGGACATGGGGGGACATGGCCTTCGTCTTCAACGGGCACCGGGTGAGCCCCAGGACACGGGGGGACATGGGGACACGGGTGGGGACAGCCAGGGACACGGGGGGACACGGGGGGACACGGGGGGACACGGGGGGGACATGGCCTTCGTCTTCAACGGGCACCGGGTGAGCCTGGGGACATGGGGACACGGGTGGGGACACAGGGGGAACACAGGGTGACATGAAGAGGACACGGGGGGATGCTCAGGGACACGTGGGGACATGCAGGGACATGTGGGGGGATGTGTAGGGACACGTGGGGGGACATGAGGGGAACACAAGGGGACACACAGGGACATGAGGGGACATGGGATGGACATGCAGGGACATGGGGGGACACAGGGGGGATGTGTAGGGACACGCAGGGACATGTGGGAGGACATGAGGGGAACACAGGGTGACATGAAGGGGACATGGGGGGATGTCCCCTGTGACCCCCCTGGTGACCCCCCTGTGACCCCTGTGACCCCAGGCCCAGCGGTGGCACGTGGGGGGCGAGTCCTTTGGCCGGCCCTGGCAGGCGGGGGACGTGGTGGGTCCCTGTGACCCCTGGTGACCCCTGTGACCCCCCTGTGACCCCTGTGACCCCCGTGACCCCAGGCCCAGCGGTGGCACGTGGGGGGCGAGTCCTTTGGCCGGCCCTGGCAGGCCGGGGACGTGGTGGGTCCCTGTGACCCCTGTGACCCTGGTGACCCCTGTGACCCCTGTGACCCCCGCTGTGACCCCCTGTGACCCCCTGTGACCCCTGTGACCCCCTGTGACCCCAGGCCCAGCGGTGGCACGTGGGGGGCGAGTCCTTTGGCCGGCCCTGGCAGGCGGGGGACGTGGTGGGTCCCTGTGACCCCTGTGACCCCTGGTGACCTCTGTGACCCCTGGTGACCCCTGGTGACCCCTGGTGACCCCTGGTGACCCCTGTGACCCCAGGCCCAGCGGTGGCACGTGGGGGGCGAGTCCTTTGGCCGGCCCTGGCAGGCCGGGGACGTGGTGGGTCCCTGTGACCCCTGGTGACCCCTGTGACCCCTGGTGACCCCCTGTGACCCCTGGTGACCCCAGGCCCAGCGGTGGCACGTGGGGGGCGAGTCCTTTGGCCGGCCCTGGCAGGCCGGGGACGTGGTGGGTCCCTGTGACCCCTGTGACCCCTGTGACCCCTGGTGACCCCTGTGACCCCCTGTGACCCCAGGCCCAGCGGTGGCACGTGGGGGGCGAGTCCTTTGGCTGGCCCTGGCAGGCGGGGGACGTGGTGGGTCCCTGTGACCCCTGGTGACCCCTGTGACCCCCCATGACCCCAGGCCCAGCGGTGGCACGTGGGGGGCGAGTCCTTTGGCCGGCCCTGGCAGGCGGGGGACGTGGTGGGTCCCTGTGACCCCTGTGACCCCTGGTGACCCCCCGTGACCCCTGTGACCCCTGTGACCCCCCATGACCCCAGGCCCAGCGGTGGCACGTGGGGGGCGAGTCCTTTGGCCGGCCCTGGCAGGCGGGGGACGTGGTGGGTCCCTGTGACCCCTGTGACCCCTGTGACCCCTGTGACCCCTGTGACCCCTGTGACCCCCCTGTGACCCCCCGTGACCCCAGGCCCAGCGGTGGCACGTGGGGGGCGAGTCCTTTGGCCGGCCCTGGCAGGCCGGGGACGTGGTGGGCTGCCTGATCGACCTGGGCGAGTGCCACATGAGCTTCACCCTGAACGGGGAGGCGCTGATCGGGGACGCCGGATCCGAGGTGGCCTTCAGGGACTTCGAGGTGGCCGACGGTGAGGGGGCGACCCCGGCCTGGGGGGTCCTTGGGCTTGGGGACACCCCCCTGGGGTCACCTTGGCTGGGGGAGGAGCGGGGGTGGGGCTGGGGGCAGCAGGAATGGGGCTGGGGGCACCAAGGGTGGGTGTGGGGACAGCAGGAATGGGTCAGGGATGGGTCTGGGGGCACCAAGGGTGGGTCTGGGGGATCCAGGGGTGGGTCAGGGGGATTCAGGGATGGGTCTGGAGGCTCTGGGGTGGGTCTGGGAGATCCAGGGATGGGTCTGGGGGCAGCAAAAATGGGTCTGGAGGCTCTGGGGTGGGTCTGGGAGATCCAGGGATGGGTCTGGGGGCAGCAGGAACGGGGCTGGGGGATCCAGGGATGGGTCTGGGGGCTCTGGGGTGGGTCTGGGGGCAGCAGGAATGGGTCTGGGGGCAGCAGGAATGGGGCTGGGGGCAGCAGGGGTGGGTGTGGGGGCAGCAAGGGTGGGTCTGGGGGCTCTGGGGTGGGTGTGGGGGCAGCAGGAATGGGGCTGGGGGCAGCAAGGGTGGGTGTGGGGGCAGCAGAAATGGGACTGGGGGATCCAGGGATGGGTCTGGGGGCACCAAGGGTGGCTCTGGGGGATTCAGGGATGGGTCTGGGGGATCCAGGGGTGGGTCTGGGGGATTCAGGGATGGGTCTGGGGGATCCAGGGATGGGTCTGGAGGCAGCAGGAATGGGTCTGGGGGCTCTGGGGTGGGTTTGGGGGCAGCAGGAATGGGTCTGGGGGCAGCAGGAATGGGTCTGGGGGCTCTGGGGTGGGTTTGGGGGCAGCAGGAATGGGTCTGGGGGCAGCAGGAATGGGGCTGGGGGCACCAAGGGTGGGTCTGGGGGATCCAGGGATGGGTCTGGGGGCTCTGGGGTGGGTCTGGGGGCAGCAGGAATGGGTCTGGGAGATCCAGGAATGGGTCTGGGAGATCTAGGGATGGGTCTGGGGGATCCAGGGATGGGTCTGGGGGATTCAGGGATGGGTCTGGGGGCAACAGGGATGGGTCTGGAGGCAGCAGGAATGGGTCTGGGGGCTCTGGGGTGGGTCTGGGGGCAGCAGGAATGGGGCTGGGGGATCCAGGGATGGGTCTGGGGGCAGCAGGAATGGGTCTGGGGGCTCTGGGTTGGGTTTAGGGGCTCTGGGATGGGTCTGGGTGCACCAAGGGTGGGTGTGGGGGGCAGCAGAAATGGGACTGGGGGCAGCAGTGATGGGTCTGGGGGCTATGGGGTGGGTCTGGGGTCTCTGGGGTGGGTGGGGGTCCCATTTCTGACCCCCCCTTGTACCTCCCAGGCTTTGTCCCCGTGTGCAGCCTGGGGCTGGGCCAGGAGGGCCACCTGAACCTGGGCCAGGACGTGGGTCTGGGGGCTATGGGGTGGGTCTGGGGTGGGTCTGGGGTCTCTGGGGCGGGTCTGGGGTGGGTCTGGGGTCCCATTTCTGACCCCCCCGTGCCCCCCAGGCTTTGTCCCCGTGTGCAGCCTGGGGCTGGGCCAGGAGGGCCACCTGAACCTGGGCCAGGACGTGGGGACGCTGCGCTACTTCGGCATCTGCGGCCTGCAGGAGGGCTACGAGCCCTTCGCCATCAACATGAAACGGCCCATCGCGCTCTGGTTCAGCCACAGCCTGCCCCAGTTCATCCCAGTGCCCCCCGACCACCCCCAGCTGGAGGTGAGGGGGGATTTGGGGGGGATTTGGGGGTCCCTGGGGGGATTTGGGGTCCCCATCGCGCTCTGGTTCAGCCACAGCCTGCCCCAGTTCATCCCAGTGCCCCCCGACCACCCCCAGCTGGAGGTGAGGGGGGATTTGGGGGGATTTGGGGTCCCCATCGCGCTCTGGTTCAGCCACAGCCTGCCCCAGTTCATCCCAGTGCCCCCCGACCACCCCCAGCTGGAGGTGAGGGGGGTCCCTGGGGGGATTTGGGGGTCTCTGGGAGGGGGCTGGGAATTCCTAAAAGTCCCCAAATGTCCCCAAAGTGGGGTGCTGCCTATCCCCGGTGTGTGCCACCCATCCCTTGGGGGGGCTTTTGTCCCTGAGTGTCCCCAAAATGAGGTGGAGTGTCCCCAAAATGAGGTGAAATGTCCCCAAAATGAGATGAAATGTCCCAAAAATGGGGTGAAATGTCCCCAAAATGGGGTGAAGTGCCCCCAAAACGGGGTGAACTGTCCCCGAAAAGGGGTGAAATGTCCCCAAAATGGGGTGAACTGTCCCCAAAACGAGGTGAAATGTCCCCAAAATGTGGTGAAATGTCCCCAAAATGTGGTGAAATGTCCCCAAAAGGAGGTGAAATGTCCCCAAAATGGGGTGAAGTGCCCCCAAAACCAGGTGAAATGTCCCCAAAACCAGGTGAAATGTCCCCAAAATGAGGTGAAATGTCCCCAAATCCGGGTCCCCCTGCTGCCACCCCGCTCTCCCCCCGGTGTCCCCTCGGTGTCCCCCCCTTGCCACCCCTGCTGTCCCTCCGATGTCACCCCCGCTGTCCCCCCTGTGCCACCCCGCTGTCCCCCCGCTTGCCACCCCCGCTGTCTCCCCGGTGGCACCGCGCTGTCCCCCGGTGGCACCGCGCTGTCCCCGCAGGTGACCCGCCTGGACGGCACGGTGGACACCCCGCCGTGCCTGCGGCTGTCGCACCGCGGCTCCGGGAGTCCCGGTGCCACCCCCAGTGCCACCCCCGCTGTCCCCGCAGGTGACCCGGCTGGACGGCACCGTGGACACCCCTCCGTGCCTGCGGCTGTCGCACCGCGGCTCCGGGAGCCCCGCGGCGCCGCCCGAGCTGCTGTTCCTGCGGCTGAGCCTCCCGGTGCAGTTCCACGCCACGTTCCGCTGCACCCCCGGGGCCACCCCGCTGCCGCGGGCGCCGCCGCCGGAGCCCCCCGAGGACGCGGCCGAGCCCCTCTCGGACTTCGAGCGGCTGCGGCGCTCGGCCGGACCCCGCAGCGCCGAGGGGGACGAGGGGGGCGGCGAGAAGGGACCCCCGGGAGCCGCCCCCGGAGCCGCCCCCCGGGAGCCGCCGCGGGGCGAGAACGAGAAGGACGCGACCACCGAGAAGGGCAAAGGCAGGAGGGGGTGAGTGGGGCGGGGGCACAGAAAAGGGGGTGAGTGGGGTGGGGGGCACAGAAAAGGGGTGGGGGGCAGCAAAAAGGGGTGGGGGGGGAGAAAAATGGGGGTGGGGGGGTAGAAAAAAGGGGGTGCATGGGGTGGGGGGCAGCAAAAAGGGGTGGGGGGATAGAAAAAAGGGGTGGGGGGCAGAGAAAAGCGGTGGGGGGCAGAGAAAAGGGGTGGGGGCAGAGAAAAGGGGTGGGGGGCAGAGAAAAGGGGTGGGGGCAGAGAAAAGGGGCGGGGGGCACAGAAAAGGGGGGGGGGGCAGAGAAAAGGGGTGGGGGGATAGAAAAAAGGGGTGGGGGCAGAGAAAAGGGGTGGGGGGCAGAGAAAAGGGGTGGGGGCAGAGAAAAGGGGTGGGGGCAGAGAAAAGGGGTGGGGGGCAGAGAAAAGGGGGTGGGGGGTAGAGAAAAGGGGGTGGGGGCAGCGAAAAGGGGGTGCGTGGGTTGGGGGCCAGGAAAAAGGGGGTGTCAGCCACTGCTGGGGGGTCCCCAATAACTCTGAGGGTCCCCAAAAGGGGGTGGCAGCCACTGCTGGGGGGTCCCCAATAACTCTGAGGGTCCCCAAAAAGGGGGTGACACCCATCCCTGGGGGGGTCCCTGTGCATCCCCAGTCTGGCACTTAAGGGCTGTATGGGGTTCCCCGGATGTTGGGGGTTCCCTGGGGGTCCCCAAAGTGGGGTGACCCCCCCGGTGCCCCCCAGGTTCCTGTTCAAGGGGCGGAAGACGCCGTTCGCGCCCCCCCCCGCGCCCCCCCCCCGTGCCCCGGCTGGAGGAGGACGTGGTGCCCGACGAGCGCGACGACCCCGAGGTCATCATGAACACCACCACGGTACGGGACCCCCAAAAAAACCCCCAAAAACCCCCAAAAATCCCCAAAAATCCCGAAATCCCCCAAAGCCCAAGGTCATCATGAACACCACCACGGTACGGGACCCCAAAACCCCCAAAAATCCCCAAAAATCCCAAATTTCCCCAAAGCCCGAGGTCATCATGAACACCACCACGGTACAGGACCCCCAAAAAACCCCAAAAACCTCCAAAACCCCCCAAATCCCCCAAACCCCAAAATCCCCCAAAGCCCGAGGTCATCATGAACACCACCACGGTACGGGACCCCCAAAAACCCCAAAAATCCCCAAAACCCCCTAAAACCCCCTGTCCCCATGTCCCCTGACCCTGTCCCCATGTCCCCGTGTCCTTGTGGCTGTCCCTGACCCTGTCCCCCTGTCCCTGACTGTGTCCCCATGTCCCCATGTCCCCGTCCCTGTCCCTGTCCCTGTCCCTGTCCCTGTCCCTGTCCCTGTCCCTGTCCTGTCCCTGACACTGTCCCTGACCATGTCCCCGTGTCCCTGACGCTGTCCCTGTCCCCGTCCCTGTCCCTGACCGTGTCCCCCTGTCCCTGTCCCTGACGCTGTCCCCTGTCCCTGTCCCTGTCCCTGTCCCCATGTCCCCATGTCCCCGTCCCTGTCCCCGTCCCTGTCCCCTGTCCCTGTCCCTGTCCCTGACACTGTCCCCTGTCCCTGTCCCTGACCATGTCCTCATGTCCCCCTGTCCCTGCCCTGTCCCTGACGCTGTCCCTGTCCCTGATGCTGTCCCTGTCCCTGTCCCTGTGTCCCTGATGCTGTCCCTGACCGTGTCCCCATGTCCCTGACCATGTCCCTGTCCCTGTCCCTGTCCCTGACCGTGTCCCCCTGTCCCTGTGGCTGTCCCTGACCATGTCCCATGTCCCCCTGTCCCTGTCCCTGTCCCCATGTCCCTGCGGCTGTCCTTGACCATGTCCCCATGTCCCCTGTCCCTGTCCCTGTCCCTGACCATGTCCCCCTGTCCCCATGTCCCCGTCCCTGACGCTGTCCCTGTCCCTGACCATGTCCCCATGTCCCTGTCCCTGATGCTGTCCCCACGTCCCTGTCCCTGTCCCTAATCGTGTCCCCATGCCCCTGTCCCTGTCCCCGTCCCTGACGCTGTCCCCATGTCCCCAGTACTACTACTCGGTGCGGCTGTTTGCGGGGCAGGAGCCGGGCAGTGCCTGGGTGGGCTGGGTCACCCCCCACTTCCACCAGCACGACCCCGACTTCGAGCTGGGCCGCGTGCGCAGCGTCACCGTCACCATGGGCGACGACCGCGGCAACGTGCACGACAGGTACCCCAAAGGGACCCCAAATGGGATCCCAAAGGAACCCCGAAGGGACCCCAATGGGACCCCAAATGGGACCCCAAAGGGACCCCAAATGGGACCCCCTTGACACCCCAAATGGGACCCCATTGACACCCCAATGGGACCCCAAAGGGACCCCAAAAGGGACCCCAAAGGGACCCCAAATGGGACCCCATTGACACCCCAATGGGACCCCTAATGGGACCCCAAATGGGACTCCATTGACACCCCAAAGGAACCCCGAAAGGACCCCAAATGGGATCCCAAAAGGGACCCCAAAAGGGACCCAAAAGGGACCCCAAAGGGACCCCAAAAGGGACCCCGAAGGGACCCCAAAGGAACCCCGAAGGGACCCCAAATGGGACCCCAAAAGGGACCCAAATGGGACCCCAAATGGGACCCCAAAGGGACCCACTCCAAAGGGGAACAGGTCCCCAGAGGACCCCAAATGGGACCCCAAAGGGGAATCTGAAAAGGACCCCAAAAGTACCCCAGAGGGACCCCAAAGGGGCTCCAAATTGGACCCCAAAGGTACCCCAAACAGACCCCAAATGGGGCAACTGGTCCATGGTCTGGGGGGGTATTTTGAGGGGGTCTCACCCCGTTTTTCCCCCCAGCATCAAGCGCAGCAACTGCTACATGGTGTGGGGGTTAAATAGGGGAGGGGTCCATAGTCTGTGGGGGTATTTTGGGGGGGTCTCACCCCATTTTCCCCCCCAGCATCAAGCGCAGCAACTGCTACATGGTGTGGGGGGGGGAGTTTGCGACCCCCACCCAGCAGGCGCGGGTGTCCCACACCGACCTGGTCATCGGCTGCCTGGTGGACCTGGCCACGGGGCTCATGACCTTCACGGCCAACGGCAAAGAGATCAACACCTTCTTCCAGGTGAGCTGCAGCCCCCCCGACCCCTCCCCAGGTGAGGTTTGGGGGTCCCAGCCCACCCCGGGGGTCTCACGGCGGCGCTGTCCCCGCAGGTGGAGCCCAACACCAAATTGTTCCCGGCGGTGTTCGTGCAGCCCACCACCCAAAACGTGCTCCAGTTCGAGCTGGGCAAGCTCAAGGTGAGGACTGGGAGCCTCACCAGGTGGGTGTTGGGGTACGGGACCCCCGAAACCCCCAAAAACCCATAAAACAAATCCCCAGGTCACCGTGAACACCACCATGGTTTGGGATCTCTGAAACCCTCCCAAAATCCCCCAAAACAAATCCCCAGGTCACCATGAGCACCACCATAGGGTGGGACCCCTAAAACACCCCCAAAAACCCCCAAAACAAATCCCCAGGTCACCATGAACACCACCATGGTGTGGGATCCCTGAGACCCCCCCAAAACATCCCACCCACACCCTAAACACCCCGTCCTACCCCCCCAAAACCCCCCAGGTGACCATGAACACCACCATGGTACAGGACCCCTGAGACCCCCCAAAACCCCCCACCCACACCCTAAACACCCCCTCCTGCCCCCCAAAACCCCCATGAACACCACCATGGTCTCTGAGACCAAAATCCCCAGGTCACCATGAACACCACCACAGTACAGGACCCCTGAGACCCCCCAATACTGCCCACCCACCCCCTAAACACCCCCTCCTGCACCCCAAAACCCCAAGTCACCATGAAACAGGACCCCTGAGACTCCCCAAAACCCCCCACCCACACCCTAAACACCCCCTCCTGCACCACAAAACCCCCCAAAACCCCAAGTCACCATGAAACAGGACCCCTGAGACCCCCCAAAACCCCCCACCCACCCCCTAAACACCCCTCCTGCCCCCCAAAACCCCCCGACACCCCAGATCCTGGCGGGGTGCGGGGGTCTGGGGGCTGGGGAGGCCCTGGCAGCCCCGGTGGGAGCGCAGGGAGGGCTCGGGGCAGCCCCTCGGGCTGCGCGGGGTGACCTGGGGGGCTCTCTGGGGGTGCCCCTGACCCCCGTGCCGCCCCCCAGAACATCATGCCCATCTCGGCGGCGATGTTCAGCAGCGAGCGGCAGAACCCGGCCCCGCAGTGCCCGCCCCGCCTGGTGATCCAGCAGCTCAGCCCCGTCACCTGGAGCCGCATGCCCACCCAGTTCCTGGCCCTGGAGAGCGCCCGCCTGGGCGAGCGCCAGGGCTGGGCCGTGGAGTGCTCCCAGCCCCTGCAGATGATGGCCCTGCACATCCCCGAGGAGGACAGGTGGGCACCCGGGGGCACCCAGTGGTGCCCAGGGACACACAGGGACACACAGGGGCACCCAAGACACCACCAGGGCACCCCCAGTGACATCCAGGGACACCCAGGGCACCCCCAGGGACACACAGAGCACCACCAGGGCAACCTTGGGGATACCCAGAGACACACAGAGCACCCCCAGGGCACCCCCAGGCACATCCAGGGACACCCAGGACACCACCAGGGCACCCCCAGGGGCATCCAAGGACACCCAGGGGCACCTGGGGACATCCAGGGACACACAGGGTACCCCCAGGGCACCCCCAGGGGCATCCAAGGACACCCAGGGGCACCTGGGGACATCCAGGGACACCCAGGGACATCCAGGGACACCCAGGGCACCTCCAGGGACATCCAGGGACATCCAGGACAACCCCAGGGCACACCCAGGGACACACAGAGCACCCCAAGGGCAACCCCGGGGACATCCAGGGCACCCCCAGGGCAACCCTGGGGACACCCAGGGACACCCAGGGACACACAGGGGCACCTGGGGACACCCAGGGACACCCAGGGGCACCCAGGGACACACAGAGCACCACCAGGGCACCCCCAGGGACACCCAGGGCACCCCCAGGGCACCCCCAGGGACCCCCGTGGGCACCCAGGGGCACCCAGGGACACACAGAGCACCACCAGGGCAACCTTGGGGACACCCAGGGACATCCAGGGGCACCCAGGGACACACAGAGCACCCCCAGGGCACCCCCAGGGACCCCCGCGGGCACCCGGGGACACACAGAGCACCCCCAGGGGCACTCAGGGAAACCCAGGGGCACCTGGGGACATCCAGAGGACACCCAGGGCAGCACCAGGGCAACCTTGGGGACACCCAGGGACACACAGGGGCACCAAAGGACACACAGAGCACCCCCAGGGCACCCCCAGGCACATCCAGGGACACCCAGGGGCACCACCGGGGCACCCTCAGGGCACCCCCAGGGATACCCAGGGACATCCAGGGCACCCCCAGGGGCACCCAGGGCACCTCCAAACTTGTGGGGTCCTGTCCCATGGGGTCTCATCTCCAGGAGATCTTGGGGTCCCATCCCAGGGGTCCCACCCTGTGTCCCCCCACCCCACATCCCCCCATTCCCCACCCTCCAGGGGTCCCACCCCACGCGCCCCCCACCCTGACCCCTGTTTCCCCAGAGGTCCCACCCCACGTCCCCCACTCCCCACCCCCCAGGGGTCCCACCCCACGTCCCCCCACTCCCTGTCCCCCCAGGGGTCCCACCCCACGTCCCCCCACTCCCTGTCCACCCAGGGGTCCCACCCCACGTCCCCCCACTCCCCACCCCCCAGAGGCCCCACCCCATATCCCCCCACTCCCCACTCCCCGGAAGTCCCACCCCACATCCCCCCACTCCCCACCCCCCAGAAGTTCCACCCCACGTCCCCCCATTCCCCATTCCCCAGAGGTCCCACCCCACATCCTCCCACTCCCCACCCCCCGGAAGTCCCACCCCATTTTCCCCCATTTCCCACCCCCCAGAAGTCCCACCCTGTGTCCCCCTACCCCAAACCCCACTCCCCACCCCCCAGGTGCCCCACCCCACACACCCCCCACCCTGACCCCCATCTCCCCTCAGGTGCATCGACATTCTGGAGCTGTGGGAGCGGGAGGAGCTGCTGCAGTTCCAGTGCCACACGCTGCGGCTGTACTGCGCCGTGTGCGCGCTGGGCAACAACCGCGTGGCCCACGCGCTCTGCAGCCACGTGGACCAGGCGCAGCTGCTGTTCGCCATCGAGAGCCCCGAGCTGCCGGGCCCGCTGCGCGCCGCCTACTACGACCTTCTGCTGGCCATGCACCTGGAGGCGGCGCAGCGCGCCCGCTCCTCCATGAGCGCCGAGTTCATCGTGCCCATCAGCGAGGCCACCCGCGCCATCGCGCTCTTCCCCGCGGGCGCCCGCTGCCCCGGCCCGCCCGGCGTGGGGCCCAGCGCCTGCCTGAGACCCCAGCCCCATTTCTCGGAGCCCTGCTTCATCCGCGCGGCGGGCGGCGGCGGGCGGGCTCCGCTCAGCCCCGCCATCCCGCTGGATGAGCTGGGCGCCAAGGCCATGCGCATGTTGGCCGAGGCGGTGGCGGGTGGGGGTCCCCACGCGCGGGACCCCGTGGGGGGCAGCGTGGAGTTCCAGTTGGTGCCCGTGCTCAAACTGGTGTCGGCGCTGCTGGCGGTGGGAGCGCTGGGAGACAGCGACGTGCGCCGAGTGCTCCGCATGATCGAGCCCCGCGTCTTCGGGGAGGCACGGCGGGAGGAAGGCCGCCACGAGGAGGAGGAGGAGCAGGAGGAGCAGGAGGGGGTGAAGGCCATCGAGGCTGGCGAGGAGGAGGAGGAGGAGGAGGAGGATGAGGAGGCGAGCAGGAGAAAGGCCATGGAGGATGGAGAGCTGGAGGAGGAGGAGGAGGAGGAAGAGGAGGAGGAGGAAGTGAGGAGGAGGAAGGCCATCGAGGCTGGAGAGCTGCAGGAGGAGGAGGAGGATGAGGAGGAGGCCAGGAGGACGAAGGCCATTGAGGCCGGGGAGGTGCAGGAGGAGGAGGAGGAGAAGGAGGAAGAGCTGGAGGAGGGGCTGCTGCAGATGAAGCTGCCGGAGTCGGTCAAGCTGCAGGTGAGGGAGGGGGACGGGCTGGGGGTTGTGTCCCCTCACTGTCCCCTCCCCGTGTCCACCTCATGTCCCCTCCCTGGGCTCTCCTTCCCAGTGTCCCTGTCCCCTCCCCGGGGTCCCTGTCCCCATCTCCAGTCTCCAGTGATGTCCTGGGATCCCCAGTCCCCATCCCCACGGTGTCCCCTGTGTCCCCAATGTCCCCCATGTCCCTGATGTCCCCGATGTCCCTGATGTCCCCCATGTCCCTGATGTCCCAAATCCCCATGTCCCCAGTGCCCCCGTGTCCCCAATGTCCCCATGTCCCCAGTGCCCCCAATGCCCCCGATGTCCCCAATGTCCCCATGTCCCCAATGTCCCCAATGTCCCCATGTCCCCAATGCCCCCATGTCCCCAATGCCCCCATGTCCCCAATGCCCCAATGTCCCCAATGTCCCCAATGCCCCCATGTCCCCAATGCCCCCATGTCCCCAATGTCCCCAATGCCCCCAATGTCCCCAATGTCCCCGATGTCCCCATGTCCCCGAAGTCCCCAATGCCCCCATGTCCCCAATGTCCCCCATGTCCCCGTGTCCCCCATGTCCCCAATGCCCCCGATGTCCCCAATGCCCCCAATGTCCCCAATGTCCCCGTGTCCCTGATGTCCCCGATGTCCCCAGTGCCCCCGTGTCCCCAATGCCCCCATGTCCCCAGTGCCCCCATGTTCCCGATGCCCCCGTGTCCCCAATGGCCCCGTGTCCCCAATGTCCCCATGTCCCCAGTGCCCCCATGTCCCCAATGCCCCCCATGTCCCCGTGTCCCCAATGCCCCAATGCCCCCATGTCCCCAATGCCCCCAATGTCCCCGATGTCCCCAATGCTCCCAATGTCCCCGATGTCCCCGATGCCCCTGTGTCCCCAATGTCCCCAATCTCCCCAATGTCCCCAATGTCCCTGATGTCCGTGATGTCCCCAGTGCCCCCATGTCCCCAATGCCCCAATGTCCCCAGTGCCCCCGTGTCCTCAATGCCCCCATGTTCCTGATGTCCCCAATGTCCCCAGTGCCCCCGATGTCCCCAATGTCCCCGCAGACGTGCCACCTGCTGCAGCACCTGTGCGAGCGGGAGCTGCAGCACCGCGTGGAATTCCCTGTGTCCCCAATGCCCCCATGTCCCCCATGTCCCTGATGTCCCCATGTCCCAATGTCCCCCCAGATGTGCCACCTGCTGCAGCACCTGTGTGAGCGGGAGCTGCAGCACCGCGTGGAAGTCCCCGTGTCCCCAATGTCCCCATGTCCCCCATGTCCCTGATGTCCCCAATGTCCCCAGTGTCCCCAATGTCCCTGATGTCCCCGTGTCCCCGTGTCCCCGCAGATGTGCCACCTGCTGCAGCACCTGTGCGAGCGGGAGCTGCAGCACCGCGTGGAGGTCCCAGTGTCCCCAATGCCCCTGTGTCCCCAATGCCCCCATGTCCCCGACATCCCCCATGTCCCCGATGTCCCCAGTGCCCCCATGTCCCCAATCTCCCCAATGTCCCCAATGCCCCCATGTCCCCAATGTCCCCGATGTCCCCGTGTCCCCGCAGATGTGCCACCTGCTGCAGCACCTGTGCGAGCGGGAGCTGCAGCACCGCGTGGAGGCCATCGTGGCCTTCTCGGAGCGCCACGTGCAGCGGCTGCAGCGGGACCAGCGGCGCCGCTACGGCCGCTTGATGCGGGCCCTGACCATGTCCGCAGCAGAGACCGCCCGGCGCACCCGCGAGTTCCGCTCGCCCCCGCAGGAGCAGGTGGGGACAGCGGGGACAGCGGGGACAGAGGGGGGATAGAGTGGGGATAGAGGGGGGACAGAGTGGGGATAGAGGGGGGACAGAGGGGGGATAGAGGGGGGACAGAGGGGGGAGAGAGGGGGGACAGAGGGGGGACAGAGTGGGGACAGAGTGGGGACAGAGGGGGGACAGAGGGGGGACAGAGTGGGGAGAGAGGGGGGATAGAGGGGGGACAGAGTGGGGATAGAGGGGGGACAGAGGGGGGACACCGTGGGGACAGCATGGGGACACTGCAAGGACGCCTTGGGGACACCGGTGGGGACATAGCCTTGGGTGGGAGAACAGGGATGTCCCCCATGTCCCCGTGTCCCCATGTCCGTCCGTGTCCTGCCGTGTCCCCATGTCCATCCGTGTCCCCAGATCAACATGCTGATGCAGTACAAGGGAGCGGCCGAGGATGAGGAGTGTCCCGTGCCTGGGGACATCCGGGACGAGCTGCTGGACTTCCACAATGACCTGCTGGCCCACTGCGGTGAGGGGTGGCAGGGACACCCCGGGGGCTTGGGGACACCTCCCTGGGCTTGGGGACACCCCGGGGGCTTGGGGACACCTCCCAGGGTGTAGGGACGCCCCCGTGGGCATGGGGACACCTCCCTGGGCATGGGGACACCCCGGGGGCATGGGGACACCTCCCTGGGCTTGGGGACATCACCTTGGGCTTGAGGACACCCCCGTGGGCTTGGGGACACCCCCGTGGGCTTGGGGACACCTCCCTGGCTGTAGGGACGCCCCCGTGGGCATGGGGACACCCCCGTGGGTTTGGGGACATCACCTGGGCATGGGGACATCACCTGGGTTTGGGGACACCTCCCTGGGCATGGGGACATCTCCCGGAGCTTGGGGACACCTCCCTGGGCTTGGGGACACCCCTCTGGGCTTGGGGACATCACCTGGGCATGGAGACATCACCTGGGCTTGGGGACATCACCTGGGCTTGGGGACATCTCCCTGGGCTTGGGGACATCATCTGGGCTTAGTGACATCTCCCTGAGCTTGGGGACACCCCTCTGGGCTTGGTGACATCTCCAGGGGAACTGGGATCTCCCCAGTGGAACTGGGACCCCCATTCTGGTCCCCCAGAGACCCCCGGGAGCACGGGGACTCCCATCCAGGGACCCTTGGGGACATGGGGACACCCCCGTGACCCCCGGGCCGTGTCCCCCAGGCGTGGAGCTGGCGGAGGAGGAAGAGGAGGAGGAGGAGGAGCCGTCGCTGCGGCAGCGGCTGCTGGGGCTGGTGCAGAAGGTGGTGGGGGTCCGCGGGCCCCCCAAGGAGGAGGAGACGCCCCCCGAGGAGCCCCCGGTGCCCAGTAAGGAGGGGACAGCGCGGTGGGGACAGGGACATCGGCTGTGTCCGGGACAGGGCCGAGGTGGCAGCGGGGTGGCACACGAGGTGTCCCCAAGGAGTTGGCCAGGGTGTCCCCAAGGTGACACACGAGGTGTCCCCAAGGACTTGGCCAAAGTGTCCCCAAGGTGACACATGAGGTGTCCCCAAAGCATTGGCCAGGGTGTCCCCAAGGTGACACACCAGGTGTCCCCAAGGAGTTGGCCAAGGTGTCCCCAAGGTGACACACCAGGTGTCCCCAAAGCATTGGCCGAGGTGTCCCCAAGGTGACACACGAGGTGTCCCCAAGGAGTTGGCCAGGGTGTCCCCAAGGTGACACACGAGGTGTACCCAAGGTGCTGGCCAAGATGTCCCCAAGGTGGCAGACTGTGGTGCACTGGGCGCAGGAGTCACTGTGTCCCCAATGTCCCCAGTGTCCCCAATGTCCCCAATGTCCCTGATGTCCCCAGGCACGCTGCAGGAGCTGATCTCGCAGACCATGGTGCACTGGGCGCAGGAGTCACTGTGTCCCCAATGTCCCCAATGTCCCCAATGTCCCCAATGTCCCCAATGCCCCCAATGCCCCCAATGTCCCCAAATGTCCCCAGTGTCCCCAATGTCCCCGCTGTCCCTGATGTCCCCAGGCACGCTGCAGGAGCTGATCTCGCAGACCATGGTGCACTGGGCGCAGGAGTCACTGTGTCCCCAATGCCCCCAGTGTCCCCAGTGTCCCCAATGTCCCTGCTGTCCCCAGTGCCCCCAATGTCCCTGATGTCCCCAGTGTCCCCGATGCCCCCAATGCCCCCGATGTCCCCAATGCCCCCAATGTCCCTGCTGTCCCCAATCCCCCCAATGTCCCTGCTGTCCCCAGGCACGCTGCAGGAGCTGATCTCGCAGACCATGGTGCACTGGGCGCAGGAGTCACTGTGTCCCCAATGTCCCCAATGTCCCCAATCTCCCCAATGTCCCCAATGTCCCCAATGTCCCCAATGTCCCCGATGTCCCTGTCCCCAGGCACGCTGCAGGAGCTGATCTCGCAGACCATGGTGCACTGGGCGCAGGAGTCACTGTGTCCCCAATGTCCCCAATGCCCCCAATGCCCCCGATGCCCCTGATGCCCCCAATGTCCCCAATGTCCCCGATGTCCCTGTCCCCAGGCACGCTGCAGGAGCTGATCTCGCAGACCATGGTGCACTGGGCGCAGGAGTCCTTCATCCAGAGCCCGGCGCTGGTGCGGGCCATGTTCAGCCTGCTGCACCGGCAGTACGACGCGCTGGGCGAGCTGGGCCGGGCGCTGCCCAAGGCCTACGCCATCAGCGCCACCTCGGTGCCCGACACCACGGCCCTGCTGGAGTGCCTGGGCCAGATCCGCTCCCTGCTCATCGTGCAGATGGGCCCCGAGGAGGAGAACCTCATGATCCAGAGCATCGGGTGCGTGTGCCGCCCTCGGGGTGCGCCGGGTCACCCTGTGTCCCTTTGTGTCCTCTCTGGGTCACCCTGTGTGCCCTGTGCCCTCTCTGTGTCACCCTGTGTGCCCTGTGTCACCCTGTGTGCCCTGTGTCACCCTGGGTCACCCTGTGTGCCCTGTGTCCTCTTTATGTCCCTCTGTGTCCCCTTGTGTCCTTTCTGGGTCACCCTATGTCTCCCGGCTCACCCTGTGTGCCCTGTGTGCCCTGTGTCCTCTCTGGGTCACCCTGTGTGCCCTGTGTCACCCTGGGTCACCCTGTGTGCCCTGTGTCACCCTGGGTCACCCTGTGTCCCTTTGTGTCCTCTCTGGGTCACCCTGTGTGCCCTGTGTCACCCTGTGTCACCCTGTGTGCCCTGTGTCCCCCTGTGTCCCCCTGTGTCCCCCTCCAGTCACCCCCAGTCCATATCCAGCACCCTGAGAACCCCCTGAGCCCCCCAAATCTGCCCCTGAGTCCCCCAAATCTGCCCCTGAGCACCCCATTACCCCCAAACCCCCCCAAATCTGCCCCTGAGCCCCCCAAATCTGCCCCTGAGCACCCCAAATCTGCCCCCAAACCCCCCAAATCTGCCCCTGAGCACCCCAAATCTGCCCCCAAACCCCCCAAATCTGCCCCTGAGCACCCCAAATCTGCCCCCAAACCCCCCAAATCTGCCCCCAAACCCCCCAAATCTGCCCCCAAACCCCCCAGGTCTGCCCCTGAACACCCCAAATCTGCCCCTGAACACCCCAGGTCTGCCCCTGAACACCCCAAATCTGCCTCTGAACACCCCATAACCCCCCCCAAGCCCCCCAAATCTGCCTCTGAACACCCCATAACCCACCCAAACACCCCAAATCTGCCCCTGAGGCCCCCAAATCTGCCCCTGAACACCCCATAACCTACCCAAACACCCCAAATCTGCCCCCAAACCCCCCAAATCTGCCCCTGAACACCCCATAACCCTCCCAAACACCCCAAATCTGCCCCCAAACCCCCCAAATCGGTGACCCCCCGTGCCCCCCCAGGAACATCATGAACAGCAAGGTGTTCTACCAGCACCCCAAATCCCACCTGGACACCCCATAACCCCCCCAAACACCCCAAATCTGCCCCCAAACCCCCCAAATCTGCCCCTGAACACCCCATAACCCCCCCAAACCCCCCAAATCATTACCCCCTGTGCCCCCCAGGAACATCATGAACAACAAGGTGTTCTACCAGCACCCCAACCTGATGCGGGCGCTGGGCATGCACGAGACCGTGATGCAGGTGATGGTCAGCGTGCTGGGCGGCGGCGAGTCCAAGGTGAGCCCCCACCCCTGGCTGCCCCCCTGGGGACCCCCCGGACCCCCCTGACCCCCCGGTGCCCCCCAGGAGATCCGCTTCCCCAAGATGGTGACCAACTGCTGCCGCTTCCTCTGCTACTTCTGCCGCATCAGCCGCCAGAACCAGCGCTCCATGTTCGACCACCTGGGCTACCTGCTGGAGAACAGCGGCATCGGCCTGGGTGAGGCACCCCAAAACCCTCCCGGGCCCCCCCACGTCCCCAGTGCCACCCTTGTCCCCTCCCTGCCACCCCCTGTCCCCTCCCTGCCACCCCCTGTCCCCTCCCTGCCACCCCCACCTGGGCTACCTGCTGGAGAACAGCGGCATCGGCCTGGGTGAGGCACCCCAAAACCCTCCCGGGGTCCCCCGTGTCCCCAGTGCCACCCCTGTGTCCCCAGTGCCACCCCCGTGTCCCCAGTGCCACCCCAGTGTCCCCAGTGCCACCCCCGTGTCCCCAGTGCCACCGCTGTCCCCTCCCTGCCACCCCCTGTCCCCTCCCTGCCACCCCCACCTGGGCTACCTGCTGGAGAACAGCGGCATCGGCCTGGGTGAGGCACCCCAATACCCTCCCAGGCCCCCCCGTGTCCCCAGTGCCACCCCGGTGTCCCCAGTGCCACCCCCGTGTCCCCAGTGCCACCCCCTGTCCCCTCCCTGCCACCCCCTGTCCCCTCCCTGCCACCCCCTGTCCCCTCCCTGCCACCCCTGTCCCCTCCCTGCCACCCCCACCTGGGCTACCTGCTGGAGAACAGCGGCATCGGCCTGGGTGAGGCACCCCAAAACCCTCCTGGGACCCCCCCGTGTCCCCAGTGCCACCCCCGTGTCCTCCCTGCCACCCCTGTGTCCCCAGTGCCACCCCCTGTCCCCTCCCTGCCACCCCTGTGTCCCCAGTGCCACCCCTGTCCCCTCCCTGCCACCCCCACCTGGGCTACCTGCTGGAGAACAGCGGCATCGGCCTGGGTGAGGCACCCCAAAACCCTCCCGGGGCCCCCTGTGTCCCCAGTGCCACCCCCGTGTCCTCCCTGCCACCCCGTGTCCCCAGTGCCATCCCCGTGTCCCCAGTGCCACCCCTGTCCCCTCCCTGCCACCCCCTGTCCCCTCCCTGCCACCCCCACCTGGGCTCTCACCACCCCCTGTCCCCTCCCTGCCACCCCTCCTTGTCCCCTCTGTCCCCTGGGGTCCTCTCGGGGGTCCTGTAGGACACCTTGGGGGGGGTCTCTGTCCCCATCCGTGTCCCTCCTGCTGTCCCTTGACCTCTGTGTCCCCGTGTCCCCTGACCCCTGTGCTGTCCCCTGACCCCTGTCCCGCTGTCCCCTGACCTCTGTGCTGTCCCCTGACCCCTGTGCTGTCCCCTGACCCCTGTGCTGTCCTCTGACCCCTGTCCCGCTGACCCCTGACCCCTGTGTCCCCGTGTCCCCAAGGCATGCAGGGCTCCACCCCCCTGGACGTGGCGGCCGCCTCCGTCATCGACAACAACGAGCTGGCGCTGGCCCTCAAGGAGCAGGACCTGGAGAAGGTGGGGACAGCCCCGTGTCCCCCCTGTGTCCCCTGTGTCCCCTGGTGTCCCCTGATGTCCCTGATGTCCCCTGATGTCCCCTGGCGCAGGTGGTGACCTACCTGGCGAGCTGCAGAGCTGCCTGGCGCTGCTGTACCCCAAAACCCCCTGTGTCCCCCCCTGTGTCCCCCTGTGTCCCCTGATGTCCCTGATGTCCCCTGATGTCCCCGCTGTCCCCTGATGTCCCCTGATGTCCCCGCTGTCCCCGCTGTCCCTGGCGCAGGTGGTGACCTACCTGGCGAGCTGTGGGCTGCAGAGCTGCCCCATGCTGCTGGCCAAGGGTTACCCCGACATCGGCTGGAACCCCTGCGGGGGGGAGAAGTACCTGGACTTCCTGCGCTTCGCCGTCTTCGTCAACGGTCAGAGTCCCCAGCTGTCCCCAAGTGTCCCCAGGTGTCCCCCAGGTGTCCCCCCTGTGCCCCCCATGGCAGCCCTGCCTCGACTTCCTGTGCTTTGCCATCTTTGTCATTGGTGAGAGACCCTTGGTGTCCCCAGGTGTCCCCCAGGTGTCCCCCAGGTGTCCCTCAGGTGTCCCCAGGTGTCCCCAGGTGTCCTCAGGTGTCCCCAGGTGTCCCCAGGTGTCCCCCAGGTCTCCCGAGGTGTCCCCAGGTGTCCTCAGGTGTCCCCCAAGTGTCCCCAGGTGTCCCTCAGATGTCCTCAGGTGTCCCAGGTGTCCTTCAGGTGTCCCTCAGGTGTCCCCAGGTGTCCCCCAGCTGTCCCCAGGTGTCCCCAGGTGTCCCCAGGTGTCCCCAGGTGTCCCCAGGTGTCCCCTGTCCCCTTCTGTGGGTCTGTGTTTTGGAGGTCCCTTTTAGGGGTCCCTGTGACTTTCGGGGTGCGGTTCCCCAGGGGAGAGCGTGGAGGAGAACGCCAACGTGGTGGTGCGGCTGCTGACTCAGGACTCCCCGTTTTAGGGGTTTTTAGGGGGTTTTAGGGGTTTTAGGGGTTTTAGGGGTTTTGTGGGTCCATGTTTTGGGAATTCTGGGGTGTCCCTGTGACTTTTGGGGTGCCTTCTCCAGGGGAGAGCGTGGAGGAGAACGCCAACGTGGTGGTGCGGCTGCTGATCCGGGACTCCCCGTTTAGGGGTTTTAGGGGTTTTATGGATTTTAGGAGTTTTGGGTCCATGTTTTGGGAATTCTGGGGTGCCCCTGTGACTTTCGGAGTGCCTTCTCCAGGGGAGAGCGTGGAGGAGAACGCCAACGTGGTGGTGCGGCTGCTGACTCAGGACTCCCCGTTTTAGGGGTTTTAGGGGTTTTTAGGGGGTTTTAGGGGGTTTTGTGGGTCCATGTTTTGGGAATTCTGGGGTGTCCCTGTGACTTTTGGGGTGCCTTCTCCAGGGGAGAGCGTGGAGGAGAACGCCAACGTGGTGGTGCGGCTGCTGATCCGGGATTCCCTGTTTTAGGGGTTTTAGGGGTTTTTAGGGGTTTTGTGGGTCCATGTTTTGGGAATTCTGGGGTGTCCCTGTGACTCTCGGGGTGCCTTCTCCAGGGGAGAGCGTGGAGGAGAACGCCAACGTGGTGGTGCGGCTGCTGATCCGGCGGCCCGAGTGCTTCGGGCCGGCGCTGCGGGGCGAGGGCGGCAGCGGGCTGCTGGCCGCCATCCAGGACGCGCTCAGCATCGCCCAGGACCCCGCGCGGGACGGGCCCAGCGGGCGCCGGGAGAGGCGGCCGTGAGCACCGGGAGCGGGATTGGGATTGGGATTGGGAATGGGATTGGGATGGGGATGGGGACCCCGCGCGGGACGGGCCCAGCGGGCGCCGGGAGAGGAGGCCGTGAGCACCGGGAGCGGGGTTGGGAATGGGGTTGGGATTGGGACGGGCCCAGCGGGCGCCGGGAGAGGCGGCCGTGAGCACCGGGGCGGGATTGGGAATGGGGTTGGATTGGGATTGGGGTTGGGATTGGGATTGGGATTGGGATGGGCCCAGCGGGCGCCGGGAGAGGCGGCCGTGAGCACCGGGAGTGGGAGTGGGGATGGGGTTGGGATTGGGATTGGGATGGGATGGGGTTGGAATGGGGTTGGGAATGGGTGGGGTTGGAATGGGATTGGGAATGGGATTGGGACCCCGCGCGGGACGGGCCCAGCGGGCGCCGGGAGAGGAGGCCGTGAGCACCGGGAGCGGGATTGGGAATGGGATTGGGAATGGGATTGGATGGGGTTGGATGGGGTTGGGAATGGGAATGGGTGGGATTGGGAATGGGGTTGGGAATGGGATTGGATGGGGTTGAGAATGGGGTTGGGAATGGGAATGGGATTGGATGGGGTTGGGAATGGGATTGGATGGGGTTGAGAATAGGGTTGGGAATGGGATTGGATGGGGTTGGGGTTGGGATTGGATGGGGTTGGGGTTGGAGTTGGGATTCTAATGGGATTGGGATGGGATTGGGAATGGGATTGGATGGGGTTGGGAATAGGGTTGGGAATGGGAATGGGAATGGGAGGGATTGGGAATGGGGTTGGGAATGGGATTGGATGGGGTTGGGAATGGGGTTGGGAATGGGATTGGATGGGGTTGGGAATGGGGTTGGGAATGGGATTGGATGGGGTTGGGGTTGGGATTGGATGGGGTTGGGGTTGGAGTTGGGATTCTAATGGGATTGGGATGGGATTGGGAATGGGATTGGATGGGGTTGGGAATAGGGTTGGGAATGGGAATGGGAATGGGAGGGATTGGGAATGGGGTTGGGAATGGGATTGGATGGGGTTGGGAATGGGGTTGGGAATGGGATTGGATGGGGTTGGGAATGGGGTTGGGAATGGGATTGGATGGGGTTGGGGTTGGGATTGGGAATGGGATTGGGAATGGGAATGGGTGGGATTGGGAATGGGATTGGATGGGGTTGGGGTTGGAATGGGAATGGATGGGGTTGGGAATGGGGTTGGGATTCTAATGGGATTGGGATGAGGTTGAGAATGGGATTGGATGGGGTTGGAATGGGGTTGGGAATGGGATTGGGACGAGCCCAGCGGCCGCAGGGAGATGAGGCCGTGACCCCCTGACCCCCCTGACCCCCCTGACCCCCCGTTTCCCCCCAGGTTCGGCCCCGAGGAGCCCCCCGAGGAGAACCGGGTGCACCTGGGCCACGCCATCATGTCCTTCTACGCCGCCCTCATCGACCTGCTGGGCCGCTGCGCCCCCGAGATGCACGTACGGACCGGGGGTTTGGGGGGCCAGGGGGGTCCTGAGGGGGTCAGGATTTGGGGTGTGACCCCCCGTGTGACCCCCACAGCTGATCCAGGCGGGGAAGGGGGAGGCCCTGCGGATCCGCGCCATCCTGCGCTCGCTCGTCCCGCTCGAGGACCTGGTGGGGATCATCAGCCTCCCCCTGCAGATCCCGGCGCTGGGAAAAGGTGGGGAGGGGTCCCCAAATCGGGGAGGGGTCACTGGGATGGAGGACACCCCAAAATGTGGAGACCTGTGGCCATGGGGGCTGTCTGGGGAGTTTTGGGGTGCCCTGAGTTTTGGGGTCCCACAGACGGGAACGTGGTGGAGTCCCCCATGGCCACCAGAAGGGTTGGGGGTCTCTGGGGACACCAGGATTTGGGGGGTTTCCCACCTGTTGTGGGGTTTGGGGCTGTGTGGGGAGTTTTGGGATTCCCACCTGTTGTAGGGTTTGGGGCTGTGTGGGGAGTTTTGGGGTGCCCTGAAGTTTTGGGGTCCCGCAGACGGGAACGTGGTGGAGCCCCCCATGGCCACCAGAAGGGTTGGGGGTCTCTGGGGACACCAGGATTTGGGGGGATTCTCGGCTGTTTTAGGTGAATCCCAGGGTTTGGGGCTGTGTGGGGAGTTTTGGGGTGCCCTGAGTTTTGGGGTCCCGCAGACGGGAACGTGGTGGAGCCCCGCATGGCCGCCAGCTTCGTCCCCGAGCACAAGGCGCCCATGGTGCTGTTCCTGGACCGCGTTTATGGGGTGCAGAGCCAGGAGTTCCTGCTCCACGTGCTGGAAGTGGGGTTCCTGCCCGACATGCGCGCGGCCGCCTCGCTGGACACGGTGAGGGGCACCCCAAAACCTCCCCGGGGCTCCCCAGAACTCCCCACAGGCTCCCTTGGGCCTGCAGCAGGGACCTCGGCTCAGCCCTGTTCCCTCCTGGGGGGTGGCTGTGGGGTGCCCCAAATGTTCCCTATGGGGTGGCTGTGGGGTGCCCCAAATGTTCTCTATGGGGTGGCTGTGGGGTGCCCCAAATGTTCTCTATGGGGTGGGTGTGGGGTCCCCCAAATCTCCCCCATGGGATGGATTTGGGATCACCCCAATCTTCCCCATTTGATCCCCCAAATCTCCCCCATGGGATGGATTTGGGGTCACCCCAATTTGATCCCCCAAATCTCCCCCATGGGATGGATTTGGGGTCACCCCAATCTTCCCCGTTTGATCTCCCAAATCTCCCCCATGGGATGGATTTGGGATCACCCCAATCTTCCCCATTTGATCCCCCAAATCTCCCCCATGGGATGGATTTGGGGTCACCCCAATTTGATCCCCCAAATCTCCCCCACGGGATGGATTTGGGGTCACCCCAATCTTCCCCATTTGATCCCCCAAATCTCCCCCATGGGATGGATTTGGGGTCACCCCAATCTTCCCTCTTTGATCCCCCCAATCCCCCCCACGGGACAGATGCCCAAACTGCCCCCATGGGGTGGCTCTGCCCCACGTCCCCACGTCCCCTCGGGGTGTGTCCCCACCCCTGACCCCCGGCTGCCCCCAGGCGACGTTCAGCACGACGGAGATGGCGCTGGCGCTGAACCGGTACCTGTGCCTGGCGGTGATGCCGCTCATCACCAAGTGCGCGCCGCTCTTCGCCGGCACCGAGCACCGCGCCATCATGGTGGACTCCATGCTGCACACCATCTACCGCCTGTCGCGCGGCCGCGCCCTCACCAAGGCCCAGCGCGACGCCATCGAGGAGTGCCTCATGGCCCTCTGCAGGTGGGACCCCCAGTCAGATGGTGCCGTGCCCCCCACGGGTCTGCGTCCGTCCCCAGAACCGCCCCAACGCTCACGGTCGGCTCAACTGCCCCATGGGCAACTCAGCTGGCATGGCCAACCCAACCCTTGTGGCCAACCCAACCCTTGTGGCCAACCCAACCCTTGTGGTCAACCCAGCCCTTGTGGTCAACCCAGCCCCCAAGGCCAACTCAACCACCATGGTCAACTCAATGGCCATGGTCAACCCAACCCTTGTGGTCAACTCAGCTGCCATGGCCAACCCAACTGTTGTGGCCAACCCAACTGTCATGGCCAACCCAACTGTCGTGGCAAACCCAACCCTTGTGGTCAGCCCAACCCTTGTGGTCAACCCAACCCTTGTGGTCAGCCCAACCCTTGTGGTCAACCCAACCCTTGTGGTCAACCCAACCCTTGTGGCCAACCCAACTGTCGTGGCCAACCCAACCCTTGTGGCCAACCCAACCCTTGTGGCCAACCCAACCCTTGTAGTCAACCCAACCCTTGGGGTCAACCCAGCCCCCAAGGCCAACTCAACCACCATAGTCAACTCAACGGCCATGGCCAACCCAACTGTCATGGCCAGCCCAACCCTTGTGGTCAACTCAACCGCCATGGTCAGCCCAACCACCATGGTCAACTCAACTGCCATGGCCAACCTAACTGTCATGGCCAACCCAACCCTTGGGGTCAACCCAGCCCCCAAGGCCAACTCAACCACCATAGTCAACTCAACTGCCATGGCCAACCCAACTGTCATGGCCAACCCAACCCTTGTGGTCAGCTCAACTGCCATGGCCAGCCCATCCCTCATGGCCAACCCAACCCCCAAGGCCAACTCAACCTCTTTGGCCAACCCAACCCCCAAGGCCATCCCAACCACCATGACCAACTCAACGGCCACGGTCAGACCAATCTCTGGAAACCAATGGCCGTGTCCCTCCCGAGCCCCAGCGTGACCCCCCGAGTGTCTCCCGGCGCTCTCAGGTGACCCCCAAACCCCCCCCAGGTACATCCGCCCCTCGATGCTGCAGCACCTCCTGCGCCGCCTCGTCTTCGACGTCCCCATCCTCAACGAGTTCGCCAAGATGCCCCTCAAGGTGAGCCCCGGGGGGTCCCGCGCCCGCCCCGTGCCCGGAGCCCCCCGAGTGACCGGCGTGCCCCCCAGCTGCTGACCAACCACTACGAGCGCTGCTGGAGGTACTACTGCCTGCCCAGCGGGTGGCCCAACATGGGCGTCAGCTCCGAGGAGGAGCTGCACCTCACCAGGAAACTCTTCTGGGGCATCTTCGACTCCCTGGCGCACAAGGTGGGTCACGGGGCGGGGGGGCACCTGGGGAGGGGACACACCTGGGGACACACCTGGGGACACACCTGGGGAGGGGGACACACCTGGGGACACACCTGGGGAGGGGGACACACACCTGGGGACACACCTGGGGAGGGGGACACACACCTGGGGATACACACCTGGGGAGGGGGACACACCTGGGGATACACCTGGGGACACACCTGGGGAGGGGACACGCACCTGGGGATACACCTGGGGATACACCTGGGGAGGGGGACACACACCTGGGGAGGGGGACACAGCTGGGGAGGGGGACACACAGCTGGGGAGGGGGACACACCTGGGGAGGGGGTCACACACCTGGGGATACACCTGGGGAGGGGGACATGCACCTGGGGAGGGGGACACACAGCTGGGGAGGGGGACACGCACCTGGAGAGGGGGACACTGTGGGGACATGGGGGTGGTGACACTGGGGACACGGGGATGGGGACACTGGGGAGACAAGGATGGTGACACTGAGGGAACATGGGGCTGGTGACTGTGGTGTCACGAGGCTGGTGGCACTGGTGGCACTGGTGGCACTGGTGACACAGGGATGACGATACCGGGGGAACCAGTGACTGTGGTGGCACGAGGCTGGTGGCACTGGTGACACAGGGATGGTGACACTGAGGGAACATGGGGCTGGTGGCACTGGTGTCACTGGTGTCCCCGGTGTCCCCGTGTCCCCGTGTCCCGCAGAAGTTCGAGGCCGAGCTCTACAAGCTGGCCATGCCGTGTCTCTGCGCCATCGCCGGCGCGCTCCCGCCCGACTACGTGGACGCCAGCTACTCGTCCCGCACCGAGAAGAAGGCCTCGGTGGATGCCGAGGGCAACTTCGACCCCAAACCCGTCGAGACCCTCAAGTAGGGCCCCCACAGACCCCTCCCGGTGCCAGGGGGACCCCCCGACCCCGTCTGTGCTCATGGAGACCCCCAAAACCCACCCAACCTCAGCCAGATCCTCATGGAAACCCCAAAACCCATCCCTCCTCAGCCAGATCCTCATGGAGACCCCAAAACCCACCCAACCTCATTCAGATCCTCGTGGAGACCCCCAAAACCCACCCCCCAAAACCCATCCCCCCAACCCCATCCCTCCTAATCCAGAGCCCCCCAAGCCCACCCAGATCCTGATGGAGACCCCTCCCCAATCCATCCATCCGTGTCCCCCCGTGTCCCCCGGTGTCCCCCCCTGACCCGGTGTCCCCCCGTGTCCCCCCGTGTCCCCCCAGTGTCATCATCCCCGAGAAACTCGACGGTTTCATCAACAAATACGCCGAGTACACGCACGAGAAGTGGGCCTTCGACAAGGTGGGACCCCCAAACAGCCCTGGGACCCCCAAAACAGCCCCGGGACCCCCCAAAACACCCCCCCAAGAGCCCCCAAAACACCCCCGGGACCCCCCAAAACACCCCCAGGGACCCCCAAACACCCCCGGGACCACCAAAACACCCCCGGGACCCCCAAAACCCCCTCGGGACCCCCCAAAACACCCTCGGGACTCCCCAAACCACCCTCGGGACCCCCAAAACACCCTCGGGACCCCCCAAACCACCCTCGGGACCCCCCAAAACACCCCCGGGACCCCCAAAACACCCTCGGGACCCCCCAAAACACCCCTGGGACCCCCAAAACACCCCTGGGACCCCCCGAAACACCCCCGGGACCCCCCAAACACCCCTGGGACCCCCAAAACAGCCCCGGGACCCCCAAAACACCCCCATGACACCCAAAACACCCCTGGGACCCCCCAAGACACCCACAGGACCCCCAAACACCCCCGGGACCCCCCAAAACACCCACAGGACCCCCCAAACACCCCCGGGACCCCCCAAAACACCCACAGGACCCCCAAAACACCCCTGGGACCCCCAAAACACCCCCAGGACCCCCCAAAACACCCCAGGGACCCCCCAAAACACCCCTGGGACCCCCAAAACACCCCTGGGACCCCCCGAAACACCCTCAGGACTCCTCAAATCTCCTCTGACCCCCCCCAAAATCTCCTCTGTCCCCCCAAAATCTCCTCAGTCCCCCCCAAATATCCCCTGCCCCCCCCCCAAAATCTCCTCTGACCCCCCCAAAATCTCCTCTGACCCCCAAAATCTCCTCTGCTCCCCCCCAGATCCAGAACAATTGGACTTTTGGGGAGACCGTGGATGAAGAAGCCAAAACCCACCCCATGCTGAGACCCTACAAAACCTTTTCTGAGAAGGTACCGCGGCACCCCCGGGACCCCCAAACCCGGGGGGACCCCCCCAAACCCGGGGGGACCCCCAAAATCTGGGGAAACACCCCCAGACCCCCCAAAATCCGGGGGTCTCCCGGTGGCCACCAAGGAATCCCTGAAGGCCACGCCGGGAGCCCCCAGCCCCTCCTCCTCCTCCTCCTCCTCCTCCTCCTCCTCCTCATGGACCCCCCAAAAACCCAGGGGGACCCCCCCAGACCCAGAATGAGCCCCCCAAACCCAGGGGGACCCCCCAAAATCTGGGGAAACACCCCCAGACCCCCCAAAATCCGGGGGTCCATCAAGGAGTCCCTCGAGGCCACGCCAGGTGCCCCCAGCCCCTCCTCCTCCTCCTCCTCCTCCTCCTCCTCATGGACCCCCCAGAAACCCAGGGGGGCTCCCCCAGACCCAGAATGAGCCCCCCAAACCCGGGGGGACCCCCAAAATCTGGGGAAACACCCCCAGACCCCCCAAAATCCGGGGGTCTCCCAGTGGCCACCAAGGAGTCCCTCGAGGCCACGCCGGGAGCCCCCAGCCCCTCCTCCTCCTCCTCCTCCTCCTCATGGACCCCCCAAAAACCCAGGGGGGCTCCCCCAGACCCAGGGGGACACCCCAAACCCAGGGGGACCCCCCCAAAATCTGGGGAAACACCCCCAGACCCCCCAAAATCCGGGGGTCCATCAAGGAGTCCCTCGAGGCCGCGCCAGGAGCCCCCAGCCCCTCCCTGACTCCTCCTCATGGACCCCCCAAAAACCCAGGGGGGCTCCCCCAGACCCAGAATGACCCCCCCAAACCCAGGGGACACCCCAAAATCTGGGGAAACACCCCCAAAATCTGGGGGTCCATCAAGGAGTCCCTCAAGGCCATACCAGGAGCCCCCAGACCCTCCCTGACTCCTCCTCATGGACCCCCCAAACCCCCCCCGGTTTTGGGGTTCCCCCTGACCCCCCAAACCCCCCCCCCCATTTTGGGGTGCCCCCTGACCCCCCTGACCCCCCAGGACAAGGAGATTTACCGCTGGCCCATCAAGGAGTCCCTGAAGGCCACACCAGGAGCCCCCAGCCCCTCCTCCCCATGGACCCCCCGATTTTGGGGTTCCCCCTGACCCCCGTGACCCCCCCCGATTTTGGGGTTCCCCCTGACCCCCCTGGCCCCCCAGGACAAGGAGATTTACCGCTGGCCCATCAAGGAGTCCCTGAAGGCCCCACCAGGAACCCCCAGCCCCTCCCTGACTCCTCCTCATGGACCCCCCGATTTTGGGGTTCCCCCTGACCCCCCAAAACCCCCCCCGGTTTTGGGGTTCCCCCTGACCCCCCTGGCCCCCCAGGACAAGGAGATTTACCGCTGGCCCATCAAGGAGTCCCTCGAGGCCACGCCGGGAGCCCCCAGCCCCTCCTCCTCCTCCTCCTCCTCATGGACCCCCCAAAACTGCCCCCGATTTTGGGGTTCCCCCTGACCCCCCTGACCCCCCCCGATTTTGGGGTGCCCCCTGACCCCCCCTGTGACCCCCCCAGGACAAGGAGATTTACCGCTGGCCCATCAAGGAGTCCCTGAAGGCCATGCTGGCCTGGGAGTGGACGGTGGAGAAGGCGCGCGAGGGGGACGAGGAGCGCCCCGAGAAGAAGAAAACCCGAAAGATCTCCCAGAGCGCCCAGGTGGGACCCCAAAAACACCGCGGGGGGTGGGGGGAACCCCAAAATCACCTTGGGGGGGGTCAGGGGCACCCCAAAAACACCTGGGGGCGGTGTGGGACCCCAAAAACACCTGGGGGGGGCTGGAGAGGGGGGTCAGGGGTGTGGAGAACCCCAAAATCACCTTGAGGGGGTTGTGGCACCCCAAAAATACCTGGGGGGATGCAGGGGGGGTTTAGAGGTGTGGGGCACCCCAAAATCACCTTGAGGGGGTTGTGGGGCACCCCAAAATCACCTTGAGGGGGTTGTGGCACCCCAAAAACACCTGGGGGGATGCAGGGGGGAGTTAGAGGGGTGGGGCACCCCAAAATCACCTTGAGGGGGTGTGGGCACCCCAAAAACACCTTGAGGGGGTTGTGGCACCCCAAAAACACCTTGAGGGGGTGTGGCACCCCAAATTCACCTTGGGGGGGTGTGGCACCCCAAAATGACCTGGGGGTGAGTGGGGGGGTCAGTGGGGTGGGGGAGGAGCCCCCAAAGTTTTGGGGTCCCCCTGACCATGTTCTCCCCTCCCCCCAGGCCACCTACGACCCCTCGCACGGGTACAGCCCCCAACCCGTGGAGCTGAGCGGGGTCACCCTGTCCCGGGAGCTGCAGGTGGGGCAGTGTCACCTGTGTCACCTGTGTGTCACCTGTGTGTCACCTGTGTGACCCTGTGTGTGTCACCTGTGTCACCTGTGTCACCTGTGTGTCACCTGTGTCACCCAATGTCACCCTGTCCCGGGAGCTGCAGGTGCGGCAGTGTCACCTGTGTCACCTGTGTCACCTGTGTCACCTCCCTGTGTCACCCAGTGTCACCTGTGTGTCACCTGTGTGTCACCTGTGTCATCTCCCTGTGTCACCTGTGTCACCCTGTCCCGGGAGCTGCAGGTGCGGCAGTGTCACCTGTGTCACCTGTGTCACCTGTGTCACCTGTGTCACCTCCCTGTGTCACCCAGTGTCACCTGTGTCACCCTGTCCCGGGAGCTGCAGGTGCGGCAGTGTCACCTGTGTGTCACCTGTCACCTGTGTCACCTGTGTCATCTTAGTGTCATCTGTGTCACCTGTGTCACCTGTGTCACCTCCCTGTGTCACCCTGTGTGTCACCTGTGTCATCTCTGTCACCTGTCACCTGTCACCTGTGTCACCTTAGTGTCACCTGTGTCACCTGGGTCACGTGTGTGTCACGCTGTGTCATCTTAGTGTCACCCTGTCCCGGGAGCTGCAGGTGCGGCAGTGTCACCTGTGTCACACCTGTGTGTCACCTGTGTCACCTTAGTGTCACCTGTGTCACCTCCCTGTGTCACCTGTGTCATCTGTGTCACCTGTGTCACCTTAGTGCCACCCCAGTGTCACCCTGTGTCACCTGTGTCACCCTGTCCCGGGAGCTGCAGGTGCGGCAGTGTCACCTGTGTGTCACCTGTGTCACCTGTGTCACCTGTGTCACCTGTGTCACCTGTGTGTCACCTGTGTCACCTTAGTGTCACCTGTGTCACCCAATGTCCCCCCCAAATTCCCCCAATCCCCCCAAATCCCCCCCCAAACCCCCCCCAAATACCCCCCAAATCCCCCAAATCCCCCCAAATCTCCCCAAATCCCCCCAAAATCCCCCTAAAATCCCCCCAAATCCCCCCAAACCCCCCCCAAATCCCCCAAATCCCCCAAATCCCCCCCACCCCCCCAGGCCATGGCGGAGCAGTTGGCTGAGAACTACCACAACACGTGGGGCCGCAAGAAGAAGCTGGAGCTGGAGGCCAAGGGTGAGACCCCTCCCCAAATTGGGGGGGACCCCCAGGGACACCCCCAAACTCAGGGGAGCTGGAGGCCAAGGGTGAGACCCCTCCCCAAATTGGGGTACCACCCCCAGGGACACCCCCGGGACACCCCCAAACTCAGGGGAGCTGGAGGCCAAGGCTGAGACCCCTCCCCAAATTGGGGGGACACCCCCAGGGACACCCCCAAACTCAGGGGAGCTGGAGGCCAGGGGTGAGACCCCTCCCCAAATTGGGGGGGACCCCCAGGGGCACCCCCAAACTCAGGGGAGCTGGAGGCCAAGGGGGAGACCCCTCCCCAAATTGGGGTACCACCCCCTGGGGCACCCCCGGGACACCCCCAAACTCAGGGGAGCTGGAGGCCAAGGGGGAGACCCCTCCCCAAATTGGGGGGGACCCCCAGGGACACCCCCAAACTCAGGGGAGCTGGAGGCCAAGGGTGAGACCCCTCCCCAAATTGGGGGGGACACCCCTGGGACACCCCCAAACTCAGGGGAGCTGGAGGCCAAGGGGGAGACCCCCAAACCTCCAAACTGGGGGGGGGTCCAGGTGTAATTTGGGGGGGTCCAGGTGTAATTTTGGGGGGGGTCCAGGTGTAATTTTGGGGGGGTTCAGGATATAATTTTGGGGGATTCAGGGTGTGATTTTGGGGGGGCTTCTGGGTGTGATTTTGGGGGATTCAGGATGTAATTTTGGGGGGTTCTGGGTGTGATTTGGGGGGGTTCAGGGTGTGATTTGGGGGGGTTCAGGGTGTGATTTTGGGGGGGTTCCAAGGAGGTGATCTGGGGTGTAATTTGGGGGGGGGTTCAGGCTGTGATTTGGGGCACAGGGGGGGATTCAGGCTGTGATTTGGGGGGTCCCGAACTGCCAATCTGGGGGCTCAAGGCATTTTTGGGGCGCAGGGGGGGTTCAGGGTGTGATTTGGGGGTCTCAAGGCAGTTTTGGGGTGCAGGGGGTGTTCAGGCTGTGATCTGGGGGTCTCAAGGGGTTTTGGGGTGCAGGGGGGGGGTTCAGGCTGTGATTTTGGGGGGCTCAGGCTGTGATTTGGGGGTCTCAAGGGTTTTTGGGGCGCAGGGGGGCGGTCCCAGGTTGACCCGGGGGTTCAAGGCGGTTTTGGGGCGCAGGGGGGGTTCAGGCTGTGATTTGGGGGGGCTCAGGCTGTGATTTGGGGTGCAGGGGGGGTTCAGGCTGTGATTTGGGGCGCAGGGGGGGTTCAGGCTGTGATTTGGGGGTCTCAAGTCGTTTTTGGGGCGCAGGGGGGGGGTCCCACCCGCTGCTGGTGCCCTACGACACGCTGACGGCCAAGGAGAAGGCGCGGGACCGCGAGAAGGCGCAGGAGCTGCTGCGCTTCCTGCAGCTGCACGGATACGCCGTCACCCGGTATGGGGAACCCTAAAAACCCCCCTGGGGCACCCCAAAATATCCCCGGGGAACCCCAAAATATCCCCCGGGAACCCCAAGAACCCCCCGGGCACCCCAAAATATCCCTGGGGAACCCCAAAATATCCCCCCGGGGCACCCCAAAATATCCCCCGGGGAACCCCAAAATATCCCCCCGGCACCCCAAAATATCCCCCGGGCACCCCAAAATCCCCGGGGAACCCCAAAATATCCCCCGGGAACCCCAAAATATCCCCCGGGAACCCCAAAACATCCCCCAGGCACCCCAAAATATCCTCTGGGCACCCCAAAATATCCCCCGGGCACCCCAAAATATCCCCCGGGAACCCCAAAATATCCCCCCGGCACCCCAAAATATCCCCCCGGCACCCCAAAATATCCCCCAGGCACCCCAAAACTCCCCCCGGGCACCCCAAAAACCCCCTGGGGCACCCCAAAATATCCCCGGGGAACCCCAAAATATCCCCTGGGCACCCCAAAATATCCCCGGGGCACCCCAAAATATCCCCCGGGCACCCCAAAATATCCCCCGGGGCACCCCAAAATATCCCCCGGGCACCCCAAAATATCCCCCCGGGGCAACCCAAAAACCCCCCGGGGAACCCCAAAATATCCCCCCGGCACCCCAAAATATCCCCCCGGGAACCCCAAAATATCCCCCGGGAACCCCAAAATATCCCCCCGGGCACCCCAAAATATCCCCCAGGCACCCCAAAATATCCCCCGGGCACCCCAAAATCCCCCCAGGCACCCCAAAATATCCCCCGGGCACCCCAAAATATCCCCCGGGCACCCCAAAAACCCCCCGGCACCCCAAAATCCCCCCAGGCACCCCAAAATATCCCCCGGGCACCCCAAAATCCCCCCAGGCACCCCAAAATATCCCCCGGGCACCCCAAAATATCCCCCGGGCACCCCAAAAACCCCCCGGCACCCCAAAATATCCCCCGGGCACCCCAAAATCCCCCCGGGCACCCCAAAATCCCCCCGGGCACCCCAAAATATCCCCTGGGCACCCCAAAATCCCCCCGGGCACCCCAAAATATCCCCCGGGCACCCCAAAATATCCCCCGGGCACCCAAAATATCCCCCGGGCACCCCAAAATATCCCCCAGGCACCCCAAAAACCCCCCGGCACCCCAAAATATCCCCCGGGAGCCCCAAAATATCCCCCGGGCACCCCAAAATATCCCCCCGGAACCCCAAAATATCCCCCCGGCACCCCAAAATATCCCCCCGGGCACCCCAAAATATCTCCCGGGCACCCCAAAATATCCCCCGGGCACCCCAAAATATCCCCCAGGCACCCCAAAATATCCCCCGGGCACCCCAAAATATCTCCCGGGCACCCCAAAATATCCCCCGGGCACCCCAAAATATCCCCCAGGCACCCCAAAATATCCCCCGGGCACCCCAAAATATCCCCCAGGCACCCCAAAATATCCCCCGGGCACCCCAAAATATCCCTGGGCACCCCAAAATATCCCGGGGAACCCCAAAATATCCCCCGGGAACGGCCAGAACCCCCCGGGCACCCCAAAATATCCCCCGGGCACCCCAAAATCCCCCCGGGCACCCCAAAATATCCCGGGAGCGGCCGGAACCCCCCGGGAACGGGGAGCGGGGGCAGCCAGGGATGGGGGATTGGGGGTCCCGGGAGGGGCTCAGGAGCCCAAAGTCACCAGGGAGACCCCAAATCCAGGGAGGGGGTCAGGGAGTGGGGGGCTCTAAAATCCTCCTAAAATCCCCCCAAAATCCCCCTAAAATCCCCCAAAATTCCCCCTAAAATTCCCCTAAAATCCCTCCAAAATTCCCCCTAAAATCCTCCTAAAATCCCCCCAAAATCCCCCCAAAATGCCTGGAGAGACCCCAAATCCAGGGGGCATCAGGGAGTGGGGGGACTCCAAAATCCTCCTAAAATCCCCCCAAAATCCCCCTAAAATTCCCCTAAAATCCCTCCAAAATTCCCCTAAAATCCCTCCAAAATTCCCCCAAAATTTTCCTAAAATCCCCCCAAAATCCCTCTAAACTCTCTGCAAAATCCCCCCAAAATCCCTCTAAAATCTCCCCAAAATCCCCCTAAATCCCCCCCAAATTCCCCTAAAATCCCCCCCAAATTTCCCCAAATCTCCCCAAAATCCCCCTAAAATCTGGGGTGTGACCCCAAGATTTGCAGTGCCCAGGGGCGGGGGGGGCCCGGGGGGTTTCGGGGGGTCCCGGGGTGCTGAGTTTTGGGGTCCCGGGGGGTTTTGGGGTCCCGGGGATTTGGGGGTGCTGATTTTTGGGGTCCCGGGGGGTTCGGGGGTGCTGATTTTTGGGTCCCAGGGGGTTTGGGGGTGCTGATTTCGGGGTCCCGGGGGATTCGGGGTTCGGGGGTGCTGATTTCGGGGTCCCGGGGGGTTTGGGGGTGCTGATTTCGGGGTCCCGGGGGTTTTGGGGTTTTGGGGTGCTGATTTTTGGGGTCCCGGGGGGTTTGGGGTTTTGGGGGTGCTGATTTCGGGGTCTCAGGGGGTTTTGGGGTTTGGGGGTGCTGATTTCGGGGTCTCAGGGGGTTTTGGGGTGCTGATTTTTGGGGTCCCCCCTCGCAGGGGGCTGAAGGACATGGAGCTGGACACGTCGTCCATCGAGAAGCGCTTCGCCTTCGGCTTCCTGCAGCAGCTGCTGCGCTGGATGGACATCGCCCAGGAGTTCATCGCACACCTGGGTGAGACCCCAAATCCTGGGGGGCACCCCCAATCCCGGGGGCACCCCCAAATCCCGGGTGAGACCCCCAAACCCCCCGAATTTTCCCTGATCCCCTGGGAGTCCCCCAAATCCCCTGGGAGTTCCCCAGGATGGACATCGCCCAGGAGTTCATCGCACACCTGGGTGAGACCCCAAACCCGGGGGCACCCCAAATCCGGGGGGCACCCCCAAATCCCGGGTGAGACCCCAAAATCCCAGGGGGGCACCCCAAAATCCCAGGGGGGCACCTTCAGCCCCCCCCAAACCCCTGGGACCCCCCCCAAATCCCCCACAGCTCTCCCAGCCCTGCCTGGACATCCCCCAGGAGTTCATTTGGGTGCGACCCCAAATCCCGCGGGGGGTGACCCCAAATCCCGGGGGTGACACCCCCAAATCCTGGGGGGCCCCCCCAAACCTCTGGGACCCCCCGGGACCCCCCTGACCCCCGTTCTCCCCCAGAGGCCGTGGTCAGCAGCGGGCGGGTGGAGAAATCCCCCCACGAGCAGGAGATCAAGTTCTTCGCCAAGGTCAGGGGACCCCAAAAACGGGGGAGGGACACCCCAAAAACGGGGGCAGGACACCTCAAAAATGGGGGAGAGACACCCCAAAAACGGGGATGGAACACCCCAAAAATGGGGATTAGACACCCCAAAAATGGGGATGGAACAGCCCAAAAATGGGGATGGGACACCCCAAAACCCCCTCAAAATGGGGGGGGGGATGGGGGTCAGGGTGGTTTTGGGGTCTCTGTGGGGTATTTGGGATTCTTACAGGTTTTGGGAGATTTTTATGGGTTATTGGGGTTTTTCTGGGGTATTTGGGGGGTCTCTAAGGGGTATTTGGGGTCTCTGTGGGGTATTTGGGGTCTTTGTGGTGTATTTGGGGTCTCTGTGGGGTATTTGGGATTCTTACGGGTTTTGGGAGATTTTTATGGGTTATTGGGGTTATTCTGGGGTATTTGGGGTTTTTCTGGGGTATTTGGGGTCTCTGTGGGGTATTTGGGGTTCTAACAGGTTTTAGGAGATTTTTATGGGTTGTTTGAGGTTTCTGTGGGGTTCTGTGGGTCTCTAAGGGGTATTTGGGGTCTTTGTGGGGTATTTGGGGTTTTTGTGGTGTATTTGGTGTCTCTCAGGGGTATTTGGGGTCTCTGTGGGGTATTTGGGGTCTCTGTGGGGTATTTGGGGTTCTTACAGGTTTTAGGAGATTTTTATGGGTTTTTTGAGGTCTCTGTGGGGTTTGGTGGGTCTCTGTGGGGTATTTGCTGTCTCTGTGGGGTATTTGGGGTCTCTGTGGCGTATTTGCTGTCTCTGTGGGGTATTTGCTGTCTCTGTGGGGTATTTGGGGTCTCTGTGGGGTATTTGGGGTCTCTGTGGGGTATTTGCTGTCTCTGTGGGGTATTTGGGGTCTCTCAGGGGTTATTTGGGGTCTCTGTGGGGTATTTGGGGTTCTTACAGGTTTTAGGAGATTTTTATGGGTTGTTTGAGGTTTCTGTGGGGTTTTGTGGGTCTCTATGGGGTATTTGGTGTCTCTGTGGGGTATTTGGTGTCTCTGTGGGGTATTTGGGGTCTCTGTGGGGTATTTGGGTCTCTATGGGGTATTTGGTGTCTCTGTGGGGTATTTGGTGTCTCTGAGGGGTATTTGCTGTCTCTGTGGGGTATTTGGTGTCTCTATGGGGTATTTGGGGTCTCTGTGGGGTATTTGGGGTCTCTGTGGGGTATTTGCTGTCTCTGTGGGGTATTTGGGGTCTCTGTGGGGTATTTGCTGTCTCTGAGGGGTATTTGCTGTCTCTGTGGGGTATTTGGGGTCTCTGTGGGGTATTTGCTGTCTCTGAGGGGTATTTGCTGTCTCTGTGGGGTATTTGCTGTCTGTGTGGGGTATTTGGTGTCTCTGTGGGGTATTTGCTGTCTGTGTGGGGTATCTGCCCCCCCGTGCATTTTTTGGGGTCCCCGGGGGTTTTGGGGTGCCGCTGACCCCCCGAACCCGCAGATCCTGCTGCCCCTGATGCACCAGTACTTCCACAACCACTGCCTCTACTTCCTCTCCACCCCCGCGCAGCTGCTGGGCAGCGGCGGCCACGCCTCCAACAAGGAGAAGGAGATGATCACCAGGTGGGACCCCAAAATCCCACCCCAAATCCCATTAAAAATCCCATCAAAAAATCTCAACCCCAAAATCCCATAAAAAAATCCCATCAAAAAATCCCAACGCCAAAATCCCATCAAAAAATCCCAACGCCAAAATCCCATCAAAAAATCCCAACCCCAAAATCCCATCCAAAAATCCCACCCCAAAATCCCATCAAAAAATCCCAACCCCAAAATCCCATCAAAAAATCTCAACCCCAAAATCTCCCGAGGTCAAAATCCCATCAAAAAATCCCAACTCCAAAATCCCAACCCCCAAATCCCACCCCAAAATCCCAACCCAAAATGTCCTGAGGCCAAAATCCCACCCCAAAATCCCACCCCAAAATCCCACCCCAAAATCCCACCCCAAAATCCCACCCTAAAACGCCCTAAGGCTGGGGGGGGGGGTGTCCCCCTTGTGTCCCTCCCGGGGGGTTTGGGGTTTTGGGGACCCCCTTGTGTCCCTCCCGGGGGGTTTGGGGTTTTGGGGACCCCCTTGTGTCCCTCCTGGGGGGTTTGGGGTTTTGGGGACCCCCTTGTGTCCCTCCCGGGGGGTTTGGGGTTTTGGGGACCCCCTTGTGTCCCTCCCGGGGGATTTGGGGTTTTGGGGACCCCCTTGTGTCCCTCCTGGGGGGTTTGGGGTTTTGGGGACCCCCTTGTGTCCCTCTATGTGGGGTTTGGGGTTTTGGGGACCCCCTTGTGTCCCTCCTGGGGGGTTTTGGGGACCCCCTTGTGTCCCTCCTGGGGGGGTTTGGGGTTTTGGGGACCCCCTTGTGTCCCTCCCTGTGGGGTTTGGGGTTTTGGGGACCCCCTTGTGTCCCTCCCAGGGGGTTTGGGGTTTTGGGGACCCCCTTGTGTCCCTCTCTTTGGGGTTTGGGGTTTTGGGGACCCCCTTGTGTCCCTCCCGGGGGGTTTGGGGTTTTGGGGACCCCCTTGTGTCCCTCTCTGTGGGGTTTTGGGGACCCCCTTGTGTCGCTCCCGGGGGGGTTTGGGGTTTTGGGGACCCCCTTGTGTCCCTCCCAGGGGGGTTTTGGGGACCCCCTTGTGTCCCTCTCTGTGGGGTTTGGGGTTTTGGGGACGCCTTTGTGTCCCTCCCGGGGGTTTTGGGGACCCCCTTGTATCCCTCCCGGGGGGGTTTGGGGTTTTGGGGACCCCCTGACCCCCCTCTTTTGTCCCCCCTCCCCCCCCCAGCCTGTTCTGCAAACTCGCCGCGCTCGTCCGGCACCGCGTGTCCCTGTTCGGTACCTGGGGACACTGGGGGACACTGGGGGGACACTGGGGGATACTGGGGGACACTGGGGGGGACTGGGGGGGACTGGGGGGCACTGGGGACACTGGGGGACACTGGGGGGACACTGGGGGGACACTGGGGGCACTGGGGACACTGGGGGACACTGGGGGGACACTGGGGACACTGGGGGGACACTGGGGGGCACTGGGAGGGACTGGGAGGGACTGGGGGACACTGGGGGGACACTGGGGACACTGGGGGGACACTGGGGGGACACTGGGGGGCACTGGGGAACACTGGGGGACACTGGGGGGGCACTGGGGGACACTGGGAGGGACTGGGGGGACACTGGGGGGCACTGGGGACACTGGGGGGACACTGGGGGGCACTGGGGGACACTGGGGGACACTGGGGGGATACTGGGGGGCACTGGGGGATACTGGGGGACACTGGGGGACACTGGGGGGCACTGGGGGACACTGGGGGACACTGGGGGGCACTGGGGGATACTGGGGACACTGGGGGGCACTGGGGGACACTGGGGGGCACTGGGGGACACTGGGGACACTGGGGGGCACTGGGGACATTGGGGGGACACTGGGGGGACACTGGTGACACACTGGGGGACACTGGGGGACACTGGGGGATACTGGGGGACACTGGAGGGATACTGGGGGACACTGGGGGGACACTGGGGTGGCACTGGGGACACTGGGGTGGGACACGGTGGCAGCCGCTGTCCCTGTCCCAGGCACGGACGCCCCGGCCGTGGTGAGCTGCCTGCTGATCCTCGCCCGCTCCCTGGACGCCAGGTGGGCACCGCGCCCCGGGGAGGGGGGTCTGGCACCGTGTCCCCGTGTCCCCAATGTCCCCAAGGTCACAGTGTCCCCAGTGTCCCCAAAGTCCCCAATGTCCCCAGGACGGTGATGAAGTCGGGCCCCGAGATCGTCAAGGCGGGGCCGTGTCCCTGTGTCTGTCCCCATGTCCCCAATCTCCCCAATGTCCCCAATGTCCCCGATGTCCCCGATGTCCCCAGTGCCCCCAATGTCCCCAATGCCCCCAATGCCCCCCGATGTCCCCAATGTCCCCAATGTCCCCATGTCCCCAGTGTCCCCAATGCCCCCAATGTCCTCAATCCCCCCAATGTCCCCAATGTCCCCAATGCCCCCAATGTCCCCAATGTCCCCAATGTCCCCGTGTCCCCAGGACGGTGATGAAGTCGGGCCCCGAGATCGTCAAGGCGGGGCTGCGCTCGTTTTTCGAGTCGGCGGCCGAGGACATGGAGAAGTTGGGGGAGCAGCTGCGGCTGGGCCGGGGGACCCCGACCCGCGCCCCCACCAAGGGGGTGGCCCAGAATGTCACCTACACCTCGGTGGCACTGCTGCCCGTCCTCACCGCCCTCTTCGAGCACCTGGCACAGCACCAGTTCGGGGACGACGTCATCCGTGGGTCCCGCGGGGACGGGGACAGGGACAGGGGGACAGCAGGGACAGTGAGGGGGGACAGGGGACAGCAGGGACAGGGGGACAGCAGGGACAGGGGGACAGGGGGACAGGGAACAGGGGGACAGGGGGACGGGGGGACAGGGGACAGCAGGGACAGGGGGACAGGGGGACAGGGGGACAGTGAGGGGGGACAGGGGGACAGTGAGGGGGACAGCGGGACAGCAGGGACAGGGGGACAGCAGGACAGGGGGACAGGGGACAGTGAGGGGGGACAGGGGACAGGGGGACAGTGAGGGGGAACAGGGGACAGCAGGGACAGGGGGACAGGGGACAGTGAGGGGGGACAGGGGGACAGCAGGACAGGGGGACGGGGGGACAGCAGAGCGGGACAGGGGGACAATGGGACAGGGGGACACGTTGGGATCTGGGGACAGGGTGGGGACAGGGCCTTGGGGACACGAGGACGTGTTGGGGCCATGTTGGGTGTGGGTGGGGAGGACACGGTGGGGACAGGGGGACACGAAAGGGAGGTGGGGACAGGGGACACGTTTGGGGGGTCAGGGGCACGGGGACACGCTGGGGACACCCTGGGGACACGCTGGGGACACCCTGGGGACACGCTGGGGACACGCAGGGGACACGCTGGGGACACCCTGGGGACAGCCGGGGCCGACGGTGACACCGCTGTCCCCGCAGTGGACGACGTGCAGGTCTCCTGTTACCGAATCCTGTGCAGCATCTACAGCCTGGGCACCGCCCGCGGGCCCCTCGTGGACAGGTGGGGACCCCAAAACCCCGGGGGGACCCCAAAAACCCCGGGGGGACCCCAAAACCCCGGGGGGACCCAGAAACCACAGCAGGGACCCCAAAAACCACAGGACAGACCCCAAAAACCCCGGGGGACCCCAAAAACCCCGGGGGGATCCCAAAAACACAGGGGGGACCCCAAAATCTCGAGGGGGACCCCAAAAGCCCAGAAATGCCCCGGAACTGGAGGGGGGGACACATAAAACCATTCTGGGAGTCCCCCCAAAACGTGTTTGGGGGTTTGGGGCGGGGACAGGGGTTCCCTGGGTTAGGGGTGTCCCCTGGGTGTCCCCCGGGTGTCCCCTGGATGTCCCCCGATGTCCCCGATGTCCCCACAGACAGAGACCAGCCCTGGGGGAGTGCCTGGCCCGCCTGGCCGCCGCCATGGGGTGTCCCCCCGATGTCCCCAATGTCCCCAATGTCCCCGCAGGCAGCGCCCGGCCCTGGGGGAGTGCCTGGCCCGCCTGGCCGCCGCCATGGGGTGCTGTGGGGTGTCCCCTGGGTGTCCCCAATGTCCCCAATGTCCCCACAGGCAGCGCCCGGCCCTGGGGGAGTGCCTGGCCCGCCTGGCCGCCGCCATGCCCGTGGCCTTCCTGGAGCCGCAGCTGAACCACCTGAACCCCAGCTCCGTGTACAGCACCAAGAGCGCCCGCGAGCGCGCCCGTGGGTGTCACCTCCGTGTCACCCCCGTGTCCCCTGTGCCACCTCCATGTCACCCGTGTCACCTCTGTCACCTCTGTCACCCCCCGTCTCCTCCCACAGCCGCCTGCATCTCCCCACAACCCTCCGGGAGCGCGGCCGTGGGTGTCCCCATCTACCCTCGGGGTGTCCCCAACCCTGTCCCCGTGTCCCCTGTCCCCATATCCCCAGCCCTGTCCCCGTGTCCCCAGCCCTGTCCCATGTCCCCAGCCCTGTCCCCGTGTCCCCAGCCCTGTCCCCAGCCCTGTCCCCATGTCCCCTGTCCCTGTCCCCAGTGCTGGGTCTCCCCTCGCGGGTGGAGGAGCTGTGCCCTGTCCCTGTCCCCAGCCCTGTCCCCATGTCCCCTGTCCCTGTCCCTGTCCCCAGTGCTGGGTCTCCCCTCGCGGGTGGAGGAGCTGTGCCCTGTCCCCATGTCCCCAGCCCTGTCCCCATGTCCCCTGTCCCTGTCCCTGTCCCCAGTGCTGGGTCTCCCCACGCGGGTGGAGGAGCTGTGCCCTGTCCCCATGTCCCCATGTCCCCAAGCCTGTCCCCATGTCCCCAGTGCTGGGTCTGCCCTCGCGCGTGGAGGAGCTGTCCCCTGTCCCCATGTCCCCGTGTCCCCATGTCCCCAGCCCTGTCCCCATGTCCCCAGCCCTGTCCCCATGTCCCCATGTCCCCAGTTCTGGGTCTCCCCGCGCGCGTGGAGGAGCTGTGCCCTGTCCCCGTGTCCCCAGCCCTGTCCCCATGTCCCCATGTCCCCAGTTCTGGGTCTCCCCGCGCGGGTGGAGGAGCTCTGCCCTGTCCCCATGTCCCCATGTCCCCATGTCCCCGTGTCCCCAGCCCTGTCCCCATGTCCCCATGTCCCCAAGCCTGTCCCCATGTCCCCAAGCCTGTCCCCATGTCCCCATGTCCCCAGTGCTGGGTCTCCCCGCGCGGGTGGAGGAGCTGTCCCCATGTCCCCAGCCCTGTCCCATGTCCCCAAGCCTGTCCCCATTGTCCCCAGTTCTGGGTCTCCCCTCGCGCGTGGAGGAGCTGTGCCCTGTCCCCTGTCCCCATGTCCCCATGTCCCCTGTCCCCAGTGCTGGGTCTCCCCTCACGGGTGGAGGAGCTGTGCCCTGTCCCATGTCCCCAGCCCTGTCCCCATGTCCCCATGTCCCCATGTCCCCTGTCCCCAGTGCTGGGTCTCCCCTCACGGGTGGAGGAGCTGTGCCCTGTCCCATGTCCCCAGCCCTGTCCCCATGTCCCCATGTCCCCATGTCCCCTGTCCCCAGTGCTGGGTCTCCCCGCGCGGGTGGAGGAGCTGTGCCCATGTCCCCATGTCCCCTGTCCCCAGCCCTGTCCCCATGTCCCTGTCCCCATGTCCCCATGTCCCCGTGTCCCCAAGCCTGTCCCTGTCCCCAGTTCTGGGTCTGCCCTCGCGGGTGGAGGAGCTGTGCCCTGTCCCCATGTCCCCATGTCCCCATGTCCCCAAGCCTGTCCCCATGTCCCTGTCCCCATGTCCCCATGTCCCCGTGTCCCCAAGCCTGTCCCTGTCCCCAGTTCTGGGTCTCCCCTCGCGCGTGGAGGAGCTCTGCCCTGTCCCCAGCCCTGTCCCCATGTCCCCTGTCCCCATGTCCCCAGTTCTGGGTCTCCCCGCGCGCGTGGAGGAGCTGTGCCCTGTCCCCTGTCCCCATGTCCCCGTGTCCCCAGCCCTGTCCCCATGTCCCTGTCCCCAGTGCTGGGTCTCCCCGCGCGGGTGGAGGAGCTGTCCCCATGTCCCCATGTCCCCAGCCCTGTCCCCTGTCCCTGTCCCCAGTGCTGGGTCTGCCCTCGCGGGTGGAGGAGCTGTGCCCGGACCTGCCGGACCTGCAGCGGCTGATGGGGGACATCGGGGCGCTGGCGGACTCGGGGGCGCGCTACACGGAGATGCCGCACGTCATCGAGGTGACGCTGCCCATGCTGTGCCACTACCTGCCCCGCTGGTGGGAGCGCGGCCCCGACGCCGCCCCCCAGGGCCCCTGGGCCACCGAGGTCACCGGCCACCACCTCAACGCGCTGCTGGGCCACATCCTGCACATCGTGGTCAACAACCTGGGCATCGACGAGGCCTCCTGGATGAAGAGGCTGGCGGGTGAGGGGGCCTGGAGGGGCGGGTGGCCACGGGTGGGTCCTGCAGGGCACTCGGTGGTGGTCCCAGGATGGTCCTG